GCTGGCGGCTTGGTGAGAAGATTGTCTGATCATCGGGTGCGCCTTGGCCTTGGCATGGGCAGCTTGCGGCTTGACAGAGGATCAGAAGATTTCCGATCGGGCGCGCCTGGGACTTGGCACGGGCAGCTGGCGGCTTGATCAGAAGATTGCCTGAGCATGGGGCGCGCCTGGGCCCTGGCATGGGCAGCTGGCGGCTTGACAGAAGATCAGAAGATTTTCGGATCGGGCGCGCCTGCACCTTAACACAAGCAGCTGACGGCTTGATCGGAAGATTGTCTGATCATCGGGTGCGCCTGGGCCTTGGCATGGGCAGCTGGCGGCTTGAACAGGATCAGAAGATTTTCCGATCGGGGGCACCTGGGCATTGGCGCGGGCAGCTGGCGGCTTGAACAGAAGATCAGAAGGTTTTCCGACCGGGCGCGTCTGCGCGCGGAGAATTGAGCTGACTGTGTCTTAGTCAACCAGAAAGATCAGAAGAATGACTTTTACCGCCCCATCAAGTGCACCTGGGCCTCGGCGTGGGCAGCTGGGGGCTTGACCAGAAAGATCTGAAGTATTTCCTTTACCGTTCCACTAGGTGCGCCTGGGCCTCGTCGCGGGCAGCTGGCGGCCTGACGACACGTCTGGATCTCGCCTGCCCGCCAGGTGCTTCTTCCACCTCGACGACATCCTGGAGCTGATCTTGGGGTGCCCCATCTGCGTGCCCCTGAAGAAAACCCCAGCGCAACTAACAAGCCCGGAACCCCTGTTTACTAGTAGCCGGCGTCGATGTCGATTTTGTCGGTTGGGCGAATATGGTGGCCTGGCCAGGAAGAGCAAACGAACTACGACGCTAGAGATGTCACAGAACCGGCGCGGGCTAGAGCGGAACGTGGACGGCCTGAACAGAAGGATCAGAAATACGCATACCCTTCGGTCGAGGTGTCAGAAATGTGCAGACTCTTCGGTCCAGGCGAGCGTCGCCATGGTGAGCCTGTTACACTGGTAAGGAAGAAGAGTCGGGTCACGGGCCCTGCGCGCCAGTCCTTGGAAATTGTGCGCTTAGGACTCTTTTGTTCTGAGGTTTGCGGCAGCAGAACGAATGCGTCACGCCTATTTGTGTCCTTTCGCAGGTCTTGATTGTTTCCATGATCCATGCGTACGTTGTAAGTTGTAAAGCCGGGCAATCATATAAAAAATTTGCAATAAACGAGATCACCCATTGTCACGCCCACCCTTGCGTCACTCTACAGAATGTTGAGAGCGCATTCGTCGTCTTGGGAGAGCCCGTAAAAACCTATATCCCTTTAAATCTTATACACGAGTGACCCAGGAGAGGTTCGTAACATATACAAGACCTTGTGTTACGCACAAGGTCACTCACGCATGTTTAGGGCTTTTGTTGAGAACTCCTGCTTTTGCTTCTCCAACATGTGTATGCTTGAGGCTGCTGTGCTTGCAAGGGCCAGCTCGGCAAACCCTCGCACGCTTAGAGGCTTAGAGTGGCTTCTCTGCACTTGTTCTCACCCATCCGCGTACTTCGTGCTGTCGTTCGGAAAGACAACCCTCGCGACCGGAATGCAACCCATGCAGCTGCATCACGAAACTGCACCGCGCTGAGTATTTGAGCCGAAAGTACAGAAACGTGCCCGCGTTGACGGTTTTGACGGATTTTGACGCCTTTTTCCGTTTTTTTTACGCTAGTTTCGGTCGCCCAAACGGCGTAGATGCAACACAAGTCTTCACCACAGCTGTGAATACTCCAGTCGAAAGTACAAAACCTTGCCCGCGCGGGCGGGGTTTGACGACCATAGACGCTTTTCTAGTTGTTTGACACCAGGTTAATGGACCGGGTTCGAGCACGTTTAGGACTCAATTGGCGACTCCTGTGCTTTTTTCAAAGGACAACCTTTCTTGAGAACACGTAAACAAACATGCAAGGGCAGTTTTGTCCTTGACGGCGGTTGAATTGGCATGGAGGAGGCGCCAGGCGCAACGCCCGCGAAAACTTGAACGTGAGGTGCAGGCTGCCAAGGCGAAAGTGGCCGGCGCGGAACATTCCGGCCGATGGGAGTCCGATGGCAACGTCGCAAAGCAGATGTGGCACTCACCGCAACCCAGTCTATGGACGTTCCATCAATGGCAAATTGCTCGAAGGCACAAGTCATCCAGCTCGAGCTGCCAAATTGCGGACAATGCCATAAAAAGTATCCAGCTACTTTGTCGGGCTACATTCGACACCAAATCTCTTGCAAGGCGCCAAGTAGCACAAGTTGCACACGTGGCCTGATCAGACTGCGGATGTGTCCTGGGCTTGCAACAAGCGAGTGGTTATTTGCCCCCAGTGTTTCTGCAATGCTGACGGGGAGACGATGATTAAGAAAGGTTGCAAGTCAGAGAGCGCACAAGCAAGCTTATGATTCCGAAAGTGCCTGTTTATTTTGGTTTTCTTCGCATGGAAGGGAAAGGGTCGAATCAAATATTGAGCCCTCAACCATTTTGACGAGTCTGACGTACCCTGCTAGCTGCCAATGAAATTTTGGGCCGCATATAGCCCCCCTAGGCAGATCCGGCGCAAGCATTAGCCTACGCAGTCTTTCTATTTTATGAGTCGCAGTGTGAAGCAGGCGGCGGCTGAGGACCAACTTCGGGAAGAGCTTGGCAACGTGAAGGCGGAGGCAGTTGGGCCATCAAGCAGATGGAAATTTCAGGGAAGTCCAGGAAGAGTCGTCGTGGGCATTTTGGTTTTTTCGGCGTGCTGTTTTGGTTCCGCTTAACTGGTTATAAGTCCTTAATTATCACTTCAAGGTGAATATAGGGGGATTCGAGGTGCCCTGTGTTTTCCCAAATCGTTCCTTGTTCAGAACTAATTGCTTGATCCGACCATCATTATGAGCCCATGACCGCTCCAAACCAACTCGACGGCGCATCGCTCGCTGCGAATTTAAGTTGCTGATGTTCGAAACGTGTTTGAAAACTGTGTCAAAAGCCAATGGGTCTCTTCCAAAACCCACTTTGACACCACAAGAAGCCTGCGTTCTCGAGGTGCGAGGCCTCAAAGCCAGTTTCGTGAAGATGTCCGGGGAGCTCCGGGAGCGCGACAAGGCGCGCGAGACAAACGAGCCGGTAAGTTGCCCACAGCTTGGAAATAGCCCCTTGGACCCTTATAGCTGATTATAGCTGATAAGCCATGGAGCCATAAGCCAAACTATCAAACATGCCTACATACCTTTGAGCCACCAGGCATTCTCGGACGTCCTGGCATCGACTGCCCGCAGCGCGAGGGGCCTCAGAATGAAAGATGTTGAGTGGCACCTGCCGGTTTGAGAGATTGGCGTTCGGAAAAATGGCGTTCAGGAGTTGGGGAGCTAGTTGCAAGTATGTCTCACGACTTAGGTGTGTGTTCCAGGGCACAGGCAATACAACACTAGGGTTTGCAAGGAACGGGGTCTTTAAAAAATGGTTGAGGGCTGGCGGGTTCCGTGCGCTTTGCACAGGGTTTCCGAACTGCTGCATTCGCCTGATTGTTTGAGGTCCATGAGGCATCCCGTCGGACCCATATTGCAGGACCCGAAAAAGCGGTTGCCATGTTTTCTCCCATACTGCATTATAAACATGAAGCGAAGTGTACTAGGTGCATGGCTTGCTCGGCCTCCGAGTTGTTGACGGCTTTTATCAGGACTAGCTGGGGGAGAGATTCAATCTGAAATCTGAGCCGATGCAGTCGGCAAACCCCGCACCCAAAGCCCCGTTTGTTGCAGAACGTGCATGGTCAGTTCTCGGATAGAATGGTCCCTTTCAGGAGTGACTTCCCGACAAGGGGCTATGTGGGAAGAATGCTTCCACAAAAGAACCCTGAAAACCCAAACCCTATGCATTTCAACCCTCAACACTAAGCAGCATACGCTTAGAGAACTGACCACAGCCATACCACAAGACGTAGCTCAGGTGACGCCTCCGAAATGCGCATGGATGGAGGATTCCAAGATGCATCTGGGTAGCTGGGGTGCAGGGGGGAGGTACCGTAACTCTACCAACAAAATACCCACGCAGCTGCAAGTATAGTTTTTGGGTGGCCTTTCTTCGGACCGTTGGCAATCCTCGTTTTCCCCTTTGAGAAACAGCTGCCTTCGAAATTCAAGTTGCTGGTCGGGTGGTTATTGCTAGTGACCCCAAAGGACGCCGCGCATATTTGTTATCTAGATACGCTCACAAATACTTACAAGGAACCCGCCAATTTTCTTGCAGCGTACAAAGATGACCCTATCCTCGGCCGTGTAGTACGGGTTGCTTCCATCTTAGGGCTAACCACCTGACCCTCTCAGCACTCCCAAATTTTCGTGCCAGACTGGGACGCAGGAGGTGCAAGCAGACGCGCCTGTGGTGCAGCACCCGGCAAAGCGGGAGAATCTGTCATCCGAAGTGGACCAGGGTTCAGAATTCAGGGTTTAGGGTTCAGGGTTTAGGGTATGGACTAGGGGTTCAGGGTTTTGGCTGCATGGATGGGAAAGGTCCCTCTCAGACCATGTCATACATGTACTGTGATACATGCACCCCTGTTAAACTGGAGTCCTGACCATGACATGAGTCAGTTTCCTCTTAGAACCGAGGATGCCCAGTAGTACCCTAGGTTCCCTTTTCGGGGGTTTAGGTTCCCTTATAAACCCCTTTAAGCAAAAAAGGGCACCCTTTTAAAGCCTTGGTTACTGGGCAGCCTAGGAACTCTGTTCCAGGTTTTAGGATTCTTCGGTTCAGGTGTTTCTGAGAAGCCCTGGAAAGCCGTTATTCCGAAGCTCTCCGAACAGAATCTCGCTGACATGTATTTCAGGCTTTCAGGCGTAGGCTTTGTCGTGTTTTTTGCTTAAATCAGGGGTCCTTTTTTGGTGTCAGAGAGATGCCCAAAAGGGGTGCCATAGAACTGCAACATAGTATTCCCTAAATCCTAAATTGCTTTCGAGTATATATCCCCTAAAACAGTATTAGTCAATAAAATATTTCCTAAATCCTATATATGTTTCTACATGTTTTTGCACGAGGCCAAAGATGCCACGAACTGGAGCGCCGAACTCGCCGGCTTGCGGCAGGATCCCATGGGGCTGGGGAAGGGCAGGCAGGTCTCAGGGGCTTAGAGAGCCCGTAGGGCGTGCAGTGTTTAGGGCTCAGGGGTTATAGGTTTAGGGTGTTTAGGGCTTATAGGAAGTAGGGCGTTTAGGGTTTATAGTTATAGGCTTTACTAGGTTCAGAGGGTTTAGAGGTTTAAGGTTTAGGGTAGACTGTAAGCCCCGAAACCCTGACAGGCCGTTGAATCCTGCAGTCGAGCTTCGCGCCTGGACACATTGATGGGAGAATGGAATATAGCTGTTGCGATTTTTTTTTTTTTTTTTTTTGGGGGGGGGGGGGGGGGGGCACTCCAGTGAGATGAGAAGGGCGTTTTTGTGCTGAGGCTACACCCCAAAGCCCCCAAACCCGACAAGCCCCAAACCCACAACCCCCAAAACCCCTCAGCCCACAGTAATGAGGTCCTTTCGCCCTTGCAAGGGGTTCAGAAGACTGCCCACTACTCCCTAAGCTTCTCTATGGTTCCCTGGGTACCATGAACCCCCCTCCCTAAAAACTCTTTAACGCAAAAGCGCGAGAGCAGGAATTGGCCTCATTGAGAGACCTTCAACTCAAGGCGGCCTCTTTTGAGTGTTTTCACCCTTTTTTTTGTGAGGGGGGTCTTCTGGGTCGGTTTTGGGCCCTTGGCATCTTTCTACGATCCCTTCTTGTGGTACTTGGTTAGGAAGACGTCTCAGGGGCCTTAACTTACGGGGCCAACCTGTGATTGTGGAACAATACTCAAAGCCCTTAAACCTCGACCCGAAACCCCAAAGCCCTTACGCGCTAAACCCCTACACCCTGAACCCTACACCTTGGGATGTTCCCCTTGACACAAACAGAGCTTTTGAGGGATTATAGTACCCCATGGGTTTAGGGTTTCGGGTTTAGGGTGTAGGGTTTAGGGTTTAGGTGTTGCTGATTGTGGCATGTAGGTGCGATTCATGAAAATTGGGGCTTGGGGGAAGTTCAAAGTTTAGGGTCTACTGTCAGCTTTCGCGAGGGGATTGGGTACGGGGCTGTGGGCTACAGGGTTTTAAATGGCTGCACATGTGTCCGTGGAACGGCTAAACCCTACATAGAAAAGCCTTATACTTATACCCTTCAGGAAGGTACATGTACCATCTTTCTTGGGTACACTCGCCCATGTTTCAGTTACAAAGTTGGTTTCGGCGCGCCTGACTTTCATACCAATTGCATGACCACCTGAACAGCACGGCCGAAGGGAGCCTCCGACGCCGCGGCAGCGGACCCGGAAGAGCTGGCGAAGCTCCGCGCGCAGGCCAAGGGACTTGGGGTACCGACTCGGATCTCGGAGCTTTTATGTTAATATCGTTGCCCCCACTTAGTACTTTGGTTGCATGTACATGTCGAAGGTCGGATGCCATGCTGAGACGGAGCCTCCCATGATTGAAATACCTTCCGGGGCTTTTTCGTGCGGAGCTAGGTAGTCAGTTCAGCATCAGCTTCTTCGCTGCCATGGAACAGATTGACTCCAAATTCTTCGTCAACCCCCCCCCCCCCCAAGCCCGTTTAACAAAGAGAGAGAGAGAGAGGGAGCCAAGTCCCAAACCCGAACAAAGCCCATCTGAAGACCAGGTGTCCGAGCAGCAGCAGGAAATTGCCCAGCTGCAGGTGGGGGTTGCCCCACCCCCCCTCTCTGAGGGGTTCTAAGGGTTTGTGAGGGTTTTGTAGGGTCTGTAAGGTCTTTCAAGGATGTAGAGGCTTGGGGCTTGAGGTTTGGCGTTTTTGGTGGGTTCGGGTTTAATGGTTTTTGGGTGTCAGGGTCTTGGGCTTGAGAGTCTTTAGGGTCTGAGGGTGAGGGGTTACGGCTTCCCACACATGGTGGTTGATAGCCTATCGCCCAGTATTCAATGTTTAGAGTTGGGCGGTGAGGGGGGATATCAGATTGAGAAAGTTGGGTAGAAGGTTCGGGCTAACTTAGCAGGCAAGTGTCAGGGCAAAAGGAAATGGTTTGGGGGCTTATTCCGAGTTTTCGGCATCAGAGAGCAGATGGCCACTGCCGTTCGACGTAAGCAGTGCGCATCTTTTTTTTGACCCAAACCCCCCAGGGTGCAGGGCTGTGGGGTCTACGGTAAACCTGAGCCAACCGGCCTAGGACCTGAACCCCAAAACCCTAACCTTTCCCCCCCTCAGCCCTCCCAACCCTCTTCACTGAGGGCCGCAGGAGAGCGCCAAATCCCAAACCCCAAACCCCAAACCCCAAACCCCAAACCCCAAACCCCAAACCCCAAACCCTAAACCCTAAACCCTAACCCCCCCAAAACCCCAGACCCTCTCGCCTATTCGAGCCACCATCCATCCTCCAGGCCGAGCTGGCAAAGGCCGCCGACCTCCAGCTGCAGGTCTCCGCCCTTCAGAAGGACCTTTTAGGGTTTAGAGTTTAGGGCTTAGGGCTCTTTGGGGTTTTAGGATCCAGGGCTTAAACCCTACGGCTAGGGTTATAGGTGGTTTTACGAAGGTAGGGTTTCGGGTCTGAGGGTTTTCGTTGAAGCTCTCTAGGGCTTAGGGCTGCTCTTGGTTTATGGCTTAGGGTTTAGGGCCCGACCCTTCACAAGCCAGCTTGAATCCGAAATTCTAAAACCCCTGAGTTTGTAGAGCCACTTCCCCTAGCATTAACACACGTCCATGTTTCATGGTGATCTGGTGATTTGCTACTGAACCATGCATGAGGGTTTGGTTGGGTGCTCCCACCCTTCGAAGTTCCCGATTCGGACCCTACGTGGCCGCCATTCCTCTGTCCGGCAGAGACGCCCCGTTCAACGAAACAATCTGGGTGCTGCGAGTTTCAGGGTTTGGGGCAAGGATTGGATTTGGGGTTTCAGGCTTGGGGTTGCAGGGTTTCAGGATTTAGGGTTTAGGGTTCAAGGCTTAGCCACGCGGAACCTTGAACCCGAATTCGTTGCGGAGGAGCGGTCTGCTGCCGCGGAAACGGCAACCAAGGAGGCGCCATGTAATCCCCCAATCCTAATTACCTGGGCTTGGGGGGGTTTTAGGGTTCAGGGTTTAGGCAGGTGGCGTCGTTTCTTCTGCCCGTCACACCCATGTGCAACATGACCCTGGCAGTCCTATCATGATTCTCACGCCGATGAAGACATGCCCTGCCCGCAAGCGGCCATGGGAGTACGAAAAGTGAACCGAGCAACCCGAGAAGCCTGGGTTGAACACCCTCAAAACCCTAAAGCTCCAAACCCCCCCGCCTCCCCCTCGCCCGCCCCCTCCCACCCCCAAGAGGGCAAAAACAAGTCTCCTCTACAGTGAGCTCCGCTTCCTGAGAGACGCCCTCGGCTCAGGAGAAGCGAGCGGCAGCCGCCGAAGCTTTGGTGTCGCAGCTCCAACAGGAGAGAGGGCCTGAGGGGGCAGGCGGCTGAAGGTAGGGGGTAGTGGTCTGAATTTTGGGTGAGGGCGGACTGAAGCCTGCAACCTACCAGCGTCTCTACTTGCTGCTTGCCTTTCCTCATCTTCGCACCAGGAGCGGCAGGGCGACACGGCAAAGTCCGCTGACGTCCAGAAGCAAGTCGCCAGCCTTCAACAGGCCTGTCGGCAATAGTCCACTCTCCAGGTTTGAGGCCTTCAATTTAAAAATCGGGAGAACATACAGATGCTCACAGGGCCCCTAAAACTTTAAAGCTTTAGCCGGTGAACCCTCACCTCGGAAATTCGGGCAGAATCTTCAGTAGCCACTTTGGGCCTTGGAACATTGGCTTCCCTAAGCCCTCAACCTTAAACCCCCCCGGTTATGGCCAGTAGCACATTCACATCCCGCGAAGGAGATGTGGATGTGAGTTGTAATTGTGGTGCTACGTAGACAAGATTTTGAGGATTCTGCAGCTTGGGGGTTTCTCGGGGTTTTAGGGTTTAGGGTTTGCGATTGGCAATGAGGTCTGCTCCAGGCTGAATACGAAAAAAAAACCTGGACCCTCTGCTCCAGATCACGTATAAGACAGCCTCAATTCTTAGCTAAGTAAGCGTTCCATTCAGTGTGAGCCAAGTGAGATACAGTGAGATAATCAACAACGTTGACAGAAACTCCATAGTTCTTTGAATTGGTAGCGGCTGAGCGGATTGCCGGAGGTGACATGATGGAAGCTTTGAACCGAACCTGTCGCCGTTGCAACTTCAACGAATCCATAGCAACCGAGGCCTCAGAATGAGCCTCACAACTATGCTTATGAAATGTAATAGCGGTCAGGAAAGCCGCTAGCTTCTCGGAGCTTTCTGCGGCGTTGATTCGGTGCACTTGAAAAGTACAGGTGAACGACTTTTTATGCCCGCGCAGCTCAGTCCTTCGTGATGGATCTTCTGACCACAGTCTGGTTCTCACAAGACGCAATGCAAGATAGCCGGCTGGTTGGGCTCCCCAGGGTGCCAGACCCTAAGCGCACAGCCCAACGTCAGTGTGTCAGCAAGCCCTTTTGTTGGAAGGAGCTCGCGGCTGCGATGGAGAGGGCGATGCAGGAGGCCGGCTAAGATTCAAAGTAACCAGATGGAAATGAGGGAACCTCACACCAAGTCTAACTCCAATCCACCCCCCGCCCTACCAAAAAAAAGAATTCCATGACCAAGTGCAAATCCGAGTCCCCCCCACCCCCCGGAAAAGGAATAAAAATAAAAGAAGAAAGCTAAGCTGATGTCCAACTCAACCGCCCCCTCGTCGACAAGATCCACCCTTCGGAGGTAAGGTTTTGGATGAAATCGCTCCTCACATTAGCACCGAAGATAAACAACGGAGTTGTCATCTCGCGGATGCATCTGGTGACAAACAAATAGATTTTGAGGAATTTATTCAATTTCTTGGGAGCAATTCAGATGAGTATGTATACATCTCGCGTGCACATTTGTAGACGGACATAACACTCATGAAACAGCGGAAAGATCCAAGTCCAAGTGCCCCCTTCCCCTCTCCGACAACAGCAAGGGTCTGCAAATGAACCACCCCCCCAGCCGCATTCAATTCAAACTTCCCGCAAGTCCAATTCTGCCGAGGTTCCCCCCACCCCGGCGGCACTTCTAACAACACACGGCGCTGCGGTTACAGGGCAACCTTAACGAAGAAGTCCTCTTCATGTGGGATGTTCGTGTTTGCACCTCAATCCTGCATCCTCTCCCTGCGGCACGCAACGGCATACGTGAATGCCGGCGGCTAGGGTTTTAGGGATTAGGAGCCGCGCAACAGACGCCTCTCACAGCACGCCCAGCCTCACGCACCTACCTCAGGGCCTTAGGAGCCACGCGGATGACAAAGCCAGTAGAGCCACCTGCAGGATTGAGGTAGCAAGGCAGCCCCATGCAAGTAAGGGGTTCACCCAAGCAGCAAGCACCTCGTGAGTCGCCCTAGAGCTGCAGGCTTCATTTAGGATTACCATAGCAAAAATCCACCCGAAGAGTCAAGAGGCGACGAGCTCGTCCCAAAAACCCTGTAGAGCATCTAGGATCTGCAGCTTCAGGGGGCGCAAACCCGAAGCTAAACCACCAACCCCTTCGGCCCTAAACCCCCCAATTCCCCTCCCCTAAGCCCTACAAAGCTCAAACCCCTAAGCTTTTCCCCCAAAGCCGAAGAGGCGCAGAGGGCAGCTGATGCCGAGAGCCTGGCATCGCAGCGGCAGCAGGAGCTCTGGCAGCGTTTCCGAACCCCCAAAGGGTTCGGCATCCGCCTTGGTTTAGGGTTTAGGGCTTGGGGTTTAGGGTTTAGGGTTTAGGGTTTAGGGAGAAGGGGTTGGGGTTTAGGGTTTAGGGTTTAGGGTTTAGGGTTTAGGGAGAAGGGGTAACCACCCCTCACCAATGCAGGAGAAAGCCCAACAAGTCCCTTAAGCTGTTGAGATTTTTATTCTACACAGACTGTCCTTGCTGCGCGGGCTGAATGGGGGAACAGACTAAGCTGATCATTCAGAGCTTTGGTCTGTGGACTCCTGAGGGCAGGGTTGGGTTCCCTAAACGGTTGAGGGTCTAGAGGTTAGGGGCTCGGTGTAGGGTTTAAGGTTTAGGGCTTAGGGTGTAGGGTTACCGGGTTTAGGGAGGAGGGACGGGTGATATTCTTCGAGCGGGTCGGTGAGCATTTCGGGCTTAGGTTTAGGGGCTGTTGGCCAAGCTCGTCTAGCCATCTCCCTAATCTGTACTTTGGGTTTGACCCCCCATGCAATGATCATGATTGGAGTTTCATTATGGTTCAGGGCAGAGTAAGATTGGGCCTCATCATAATACTGTCCTGACTGCTCTTTGAGGGTCTAGCCTCAAGTATCGTCCGGTTGTTGGGACGCTTCTGATCATGCGGGTCCTGATCTGTACATAGGGTACCCAAATAGACTTTTTGCCATCCTGTCAAGAACCGACCATATGTCCTACACAGGTTTTCGGGTTCAGGGTTAGGGTTTCCGGGGTTAGGGTTTCCGGGCTCTTCTTGTCTGCTCCTGCAAGCAGTGAAGGTGGCGAGCATCGTGCTGAATCTGTAGAGCGTAGGGTTTTGGGGGGCTTTTGAGGCGATCCGCCTCCCGGGAAAACCCCATGTGCCGTTTTGTCCTTGCGCCACCCTCAGAAGCAGGGAAGGCTTCAACACCACAGCATGTCGTGATACTTGACTATCCTTCTTGTTGCTTGCTTGCTTGCACATCCCTAAACCTAAACCCCAAACCCTAAACCCCACACCCCAAACCCTAAACCCTAAACCCCAAACCCCAAACCCCAAACCCTAAACCCTAAACCCTACACCCCAAGCCCTAAACCCTAAACCCGAATGGCTGCGGAAAGCGAGCTCTCCAGGAGCTCCAGGACCGGAACGCGGAGGCCAGGACCACGGATGACGCCGTTTCGTAGTCATGGGGGGGGGGGGGGGGGGGGGGGGGGGTTTAGGGTTTAGGGTTTAGGGTTTAGGGTTTAGGGTTTTAGGGTTTAGGGTTTAGGGTTTTCGGGTTTTAGGGTTTTAGGCTTTTAGGGTTTTAGGGTTTTAGGGTTTAGGGTTTAGGGTTTAGGGTTCGGGGTTTAGGGTTTGAGGGTTCAGGGTTTAGGGTTGAGGGGGCTGCAACATGAAAGGTTTGGCGTCTAAAGTTGCAGGCTTTGGGGGTCTTGGGATGAAGAGTGAATCTTGGGGGAAACCTAAACCCTACACCCTGCACCCCGTAGCCCACCAACAAGCTGCATGGTGTGTTGCAGCCATGCCGCTTGAGACGCTGCAGCTCCATTTAGGACTGCTACAAAATGTTCTCTCAAGCTCGTACCCAGCCTTGCAGGGAGCCACTCACCTTAAAGCATCCCGGTATTCAAAACCTCCAAGCCTGAAGCCCTAAAGTCGAAAATCCTGAACCCCTAAACCCTAAGCTCCTAAGCCCCTGCATCCTAGTCCTAAACCCTAGAAGCCCTCCTGAACTACGTCCAGGAGCTGGCTGCCCAGAAGGCGCAGCAAACCCAAGCCGAGGCGCCCATGGTCAGGTTTGCGGTGTCTAAGTGACCGAGGTTTCGGGCCTAGACATGAAGTGAGGTTTCGCGCTTACATTTATGGTTCATATATTCGTTGTGTGTGTGTGTGCGCGTGTGAAAAATATAGACATGTACATGTATATGCACGGGGTGTCCTTCTGGGATATGCACTACATAATCTAATACAGGCTGCCTGGTACGAGTGGGACTTTCTAAATGGTTGGCTGTTCTAAGTTGGGGAGGGCCTGCGGGGGAGAGGGGAGCGGAGTTTATAACGAGTTTTGGATTCAGGTATTACGGGGCAATTTGAGACCAGGTCTTGCCTGTGACACGAGAAAATTCTACCATGAAGGGGCATCTTTGGGGGACCCTAAACATTGAACAACCCCGACGACCGTGTCGGCGCGAGAACATCACGGCCCTAAGCCCCTTAACTGCGAGCGATCTGTTTTTGAGCTTGATTACAAAGGGCACGCTTGAAAGCCAAAGGCAGACGTGGACCATCTGCATCTCCATATTGCATGCCAAACCATGTCCGCATTTCAGTCGCGATTCTGAATGCGATTTCGGAAAGGGTTCGAAATATGCGATTTACATTACACATGTCGATACGATTTCAGATAGGATCCTGGGGTGTCGGGCGGCATTTGAAATCGCAGCCACATCGCATTCGAAATCGTATCCACATGTGTACTTTACAGAGGATGCGATTTCGGATATGTTATTTCTGATACACTTCTGGCCGCGACGTGGATACCTCTTGCCACCACCAGGACCACTTTTGTAGCCATGAACCTCATGCCGTATCCAAGACCAGCCGGATCCTATCCGAAGCATAGGCCACCTAAGTCCGCACCTCAGTATCGCTCTCATTCGTCTCGGCGGGGACTTGGAAACTCAGAGTCCTGCTCCGACATGGTTTGAGATGTTTGACTCCTTTCTGGACCGTGCTGTTGCTACAGAGCTGAGAACGGAGCTGGCACGTGCAGCGATGTATATCTCACCACGCCAGACAGGCACAGCATCTTTTGTTGTCTCGGTTCTTGACGATGTTGCCATGCCCTTCACGCAGGAGCGTGGGCAGGCATGGTTCCACAGACCTCAGCGCCCGAAAACATGAGAACACCAAGAGCCCATGAAAGCCCGGCAGCTTGCAACAGACCCCAGCCCAGAGCCTGAGTACGAATTGAGGGTGTCGATCTTAGGGCTTGCAAAGCCATGTTGAAGGTGGCGTCGCAGCAGATCGAAACACTGCAGGCGCGCGCTGCCGCAGCGGAGAAGGCCAGTGGGTTCGGGTGCCCTAATGCTGTTTTGGGCCTAGGGTTTAGGCTGCAGTGCAAGGAGGACAGAGTTTGAACATCAGACGCAAAAAGTGGACTCACCTGTAGGCATTAATAAATTAACAATGTAATCACCAGACTGGCAACAGCAACCGCTCATCAACAAGACCCGAAAGGCTCAATGTCATGATGAGTCTTGTGTGTAGAGTGAGACAAACCGAATTATGCTTAGGAGAAGTTCGAAATGTCTCCGTATCACCGAAAATGTCGAAGGATTCATTGAAGCCGTTAAGGGTCACTGGGGCATCTAAATATTCCCCGGGCGCGAACCCGAAGCCCTCAAACAAGAAACAAACGAAGGAGGCCCAGAGGCTTGAAACCACACAGACCTTGCGTCACGTCGCAGGAACCTCATCCGTGAAGCACCTAAATCCCAACTTCGAAACCCTGCCATACATATTTACCCTACACCCGAAACCCTAAGCTCTAAAGCCAAACCAGACCTGGCTCTGGGTATGATCGCGTGGAAGTAGCACGGTCCTTCAACTCCTCTATTCCCGAAAACAAGTCCCCCCAAAAGATTCTCCCTCCTCCCGGTTCGGACATACATATCTCTGTCATACATATCTCTTTCATTCCCTGTACAAAGTTGGAAAAGTGTGTGCTTTGAGTTTCCCCTCCTGCTGCTCGAACCCTAGTCCAACATGTTTCTTGGATGGTTGAAAAGTACCCTCAGACATCAACAGTGAGCTGAGAGATTCGGCAGCAAAAATCGTCGGTAAAAGCATGTTCCGGCCTTCAAGCTGTTAATACTTAAGAAATCCTTCGGCCTTATATCAAACATCAGCCTTCCTGAAGACCCTGAACCTTCAACCTCAAGCCCGCGTTCTTGCGCTGCGGAGGAACTGGCGCAGGCCAAGGCGGCCCAGCAGACTGGAGCAGAGGCACTTACCGGATGCAGAGGTCTTCCCGAGCCCCAAAGACAGGCCCTAACCCCCCGGGAGGAGAACAGGTCTTAGCTTTGTTTCTCCATCAGGCTGCGCACCGAAGACTATAAAAATCACCTCTCGCCAGCCAGAGCTCATTGGTATCAAGGGGGGGGGGGGGGAGGGGGGGGGGGGGGGGGGGGGGGGAGGGGCCTTCATCTTTGCAAGATGACTCTGGGGTGTTCTTTCACTTCCTTTCAATCGACCCAAGCATTTCTACTCGAGTCTTCCGTGCCTTCGGTACTAAAGTTCTGATGCGTCACGTGGTCCGGAGTACTCCCCCGAGGAAACAGAAGGCTACGACTGAAAACCGGGGTCTGGAAGGAGAAAGGGACACAGCAGAAAGAGCAGGGAGAGAGAGAGAGAGAGCCGACAATCCCCTGAGAATTTAAGTCTTAGGGTTTCGGGTTGTTTGATGTTGGAACAAGTTGAAGGTTCGCGGCCAAGGCCCCCTCAAACAATTCGTAGCTTTTGTGAAACAGATAGTGAAAGAATGGATATGGACATTCTTGAATTTGATCAATGGGAAACTCTGGCAATTGTTCCCAACCTTGGGTGAGGGGGTCAAGACCCTAATTTCCTTGCTATGCCATGGGGTAGGGGGGAGGGTATTAGTTCATTTCCTCACAGGAAGGCTTTGAGTCGTCTGCTTTTTGCGACATTCGCAAGCTGGTTGCTTCGCACCTCTAGCCGTTGACTCAAGGTTACGAGAAATTGTATCGTGACTATGAGGTGGAGGGTTCAATTATATAGGTGTTTAGGCTTTAAAGGTTTTAAAGTTCAGGGTTTTAGGTTGCTTCTGAGAAAGAGCCTTGGGCAGGGCGCGCAGCTCACGGCGCAGCTTACCGCGCAGCTGGCGGAAGCACAGGCCTAAAGCAGTCACGAGAACTTCTACAGCTTGGGAGTCCGTAGATGTACTGCCAAAGAACTATTGGGGCCTTCATAATTAGCTAAGGGTTGTTTTATTATTATTTTTTTTTTTTTTTTTTTTTTTGGGGGGGGGGGGGGTTTTGTAGCATAGTTGCATAGAGACCGTAAGGGAACACTATTAGAATTTTTTCCGACCCCTATACTAGCCAGGGCCCTCGCATGCCAAGAAGGTGCTGTAACTGCAAACATGGAGAGTCTGGGTTTTTTTGGCATCCGGGGCATTGAAAACAGGGCACGCCTGGTAGACGACAATCCGTAGAAACACGCAACAAGTAAGTCTAGGGTTTAGGGTACAAGTTTGTCCATGTAAACGGTAAAGAAACCTTTGGGGAGTTGTGTTTGGGTGCAGACTTTCGATGCAAGACTACCACCATACCACCACAGCCTAGAAGACCTACAAATGTTTTCCAAATTGCACTGCGCCCTCCACCGAGGATGCTTTCCCCCCAAATCTCCTCACCATATGACAGTACATCCTTTGAATTTTGGGATGCGGGGCGGGGACCCAACGTAAACCACAAAGCCCCGAACTTTTAGTGACTTAGAAGCATTCCTCCGATGGTTTCAAGGGCCAACCTTGCGAAACCACCCTGATCTTTGATCCCCGAACCCCGCCACAGGCGCAGGTGCTGCAGCTGACCGAGCTCAACACCGACGCGACCGCACTACGTGAGGACTTTCGGCTTCGGGCCGGGGTTGGGAAGGAGGAGGGGGGGCGGGGGCTTAGGGTTCAGCGTTCAGGGTTTAGGGTTTTTTTTTAGGGGCGTTTTTTTCAGGTTGCATGTTGCGGAGTTGCGAGTAGATCGGTCGGAAGACTTTCGACAATCGTTAAGCTCTGCTCCCATGGCGTGTAGTGTTTAGTTACAGCCGATACGCTCGTGGCTTACTTGGGTGCAACTGCTTGAGTTTGTCTGTCGAAAACTGTCCCATTCAGAATCAGTGGGAGCCTTAGTGTGTGTGTGTGTAGACATGCAGCACATACCTACGATTGAGTATGCAAACCCAGGAAGAGTCCACACCTGGCATGAACCCTGAACCCTAAACCCTGAACCCGATGTCCTTGCAAGGTAGGGCTGTAAGCCCTCAATCCAAATCCGGAACAGGAGCTCGCCACAGTGAAAGAGGCCCACTCAAAGGAGGCGCACACGAAGCGCCCACGTGCAAAAGCCCTAAGCCCCAAAAAAACCCCAAAACCGGGTTTAGGGTTTAGGGTTTAGGGGTTTAGGGGTTTAGGGGTTTAGGGGTTTAGGGGTTTAGGGGTTTAGGGGTTTAGGGGTTAGGGGCCCTAAACCCTAAACCCGGAGCCATACTTGGACAAGAAACTTGTTTGCAAAGACTCTTGGCTCCACACAACATGAGCTATCCGGGCAGTTCTCGACATTAGGGTCCCTTTTTGTGTCCTATGCATACCCTTTTTTGTATAGTACGTCACCCCTCACTGTACGGACCCCAAAAAGAAACCACAAACTTAGAGAAGTACCCATATGTCATACACGCCCAGCTTTGACTAAAACCACAGCACGACGACCTTGTAGAGGCAGTTTGCTTTTTCGCCCGTGGGAGTCAGGGTTTGGGGACCCCAGGGCTTGGGGACTAGAATTTTTGTTTTAGGGCACATACAGAGGTCACCCCGAAACCCTAACTAGGGGTTAGGGTTCAGGCTTTCCTCAGCCATGAACCGCCACCCCTAGCTCCGATGCACCCGAAAGACTAGACCCTTTCTTACCTTTTGGCTTCCCTTCAACCCCAGACCCTTCTTCTCCAAAAGGCAAAGAACGGGGCAGGGCGCTCAACCCTTAACCCTGCCCCTTCTTCACGGCCTCTGGGGACCCTGAACCAGGGTGAAGGGCTTAGGACTTTTGAGGGTTTAGGGCGATCCGCTCTTTATGAAAAGGTAAGCGCATCAGGAAAAGGATGTTCTAGTGGGGGGGGATAGCAGGAGCCGACATAATTCCCGACATTGCCCCTTTGCAATGCCCCTGCAAACGTATGTTCTACACTACCTGAAACACCCATCGAACTTACGTCGGGTTTTGGAGGCTAACATAACAAGTCCTTTGTCATGCCAGGCGGTGCAGCTCAAAGCCCGCATCCAAGAGCTGGAGGCAGAGGGTCCCTAATTTGTTTTATGAACCCCATTCGACTAAGCTCATGACTTCCACCCCAAGCAGTCGAAACCCCACGCCAGAGAGGCCTGAGGAATGCAAGGACTACCTGTCGGGTGTAGAGGGTTTAGGGCTCCTAGCGCTCCCCAGTGTTTTCTAGTAGGGCCTTGCACCGCAGGTTTCGAAGCCTTGCGTCTCCCAGCGAAGCCCGAACCCTCGGCGCAGGCCCAGGCAGCGGCCGCCGAAGCCTCCGCGGGCAAGCAGCTGGAGGAGTGCCAACGAGGGCTTGAAAAACAGGCGTCCCATCATCAAAAGGCTCTTAAATATAGATGTGTGGGATATAGCGCTTTGTTGCGGTGGGGTGGTTACTCAGTTTGAAGGCGATGTATCTAACAGTACCTTCACGAATTATGGTAAACACTGTTATGCAACCACCTCATCCCTCCTTTCCCCCCGCAAAAATCGACCCGAGACCTTAAAGCTGCGCCCCAACGCAAGGCCAAAGCCTCAGAGCGTGAGCCCTACAACTCGCACAGGAGATGCAAAAGCTGGGCGAGGAGGCTGGGCTGTGTGTATCTTCGTCGGGTTGGGAGTTCGGTTTTTTGTCACGTACACAACCGAAGATTGAACATGTTAGTTTGGTTTAGGGCAGATATATGCATGTATACTCGAAGTCTTAGCAGCCTCTATGCCCCAAACCCGAAACCCTAGATCTGAAAGCAGTAAGACATTTCAGAGGCGTATCCTGGGGAGGCTGCCATGAAAGACCCCCAGCACTGGGCTCCAGAACGACTCAGAAGGTGTCAAGGTTCTTAGGGAGTGTGGCCCTTTGCAGAGTTTTCTGAAGTTCTTGTAGACGGTTTGTTTTTCGCACCTGCTTTTCCAAGGGGATCTTAAGAAGCTGGCGCGTCTATCTCAAGCACCTGTCGGAAGAAGCACCCTAAACCCATGCCCTCGATCCTCTTAAAACGCGTTGAAGCAATCGTGGGCGCACAATCTAAGATGTCCCGGCTATATGTATACTGAAAGCACAAACATATATATATATATATATGTGTATGTATATGGATATATATATATATATATGGGAGGTTGTCAAAATGATGGTCCGTTTTTGGATCCCATTATAATACGGCACCTAATATTTAGGGTACCCCAAAAAGGGTCATAATTTTGACAGCCACCCATATATATATATATATATATATATATATTTAATCTTAATTATCTTCTTTGTATACATGCAATGCAAAAGCACAAAAACAGAAATTAATTTCTGTAGTATGCTATAAAGCCCTGCGCAGGCGACCCAAAAGAATGTCAAGATGGACTCCAAACCCCTTCGCCCTGATCCTCAATCATCGCCAATGTTTACCCCTGGTGCTCCCTACACAAATACAAAAGTAAAAGCGTCAAACTAAAAAGAGGCACTCAACCCCCAAAAGGATCGTTTGTAGTTGAAAGTCTCCAGAATTCCCGGTGTTCGATAGACCCCCTCTTGAGGCACAAAACGCCTAAACCCTAAACCCTAAACCCTAAACCCCAGCCTTCAAAGGGCACCTGCTGCCAGGCGGGGAACCTCCAGCAAACCCGGGACGAGCTGCTCCTGCGGCAGCAGGTTTCGCTCTTCCGGGGGGGTAGCTTCAAGAAAAGTCGAGCTTCGGGCTTCAGGAAGTCTTGAATTCCTCACCCTAAACCCTAAACCCGCCTAAGCCCTTTGCAAGAAAGGGGCTTTGGGATTGGGAGCTTCAGTGCCAGGGTGTCACCCCCTCGCAGTCGCAGGATCTCGCGGCCGCCCAGGTTGCCGTGCAGAAGACGGCAGAGGCCGCGTCTCAGGGATCCTTGAACCCCGAAGCATCCAGGTGGGGGGCCCCCATAGTTCAGAGAAGTCCCTCTTAGGTGTGTACCTAAACAGTACACACACTTGGGGGGGCCTGGTAAGGACTTTATATGGGAACTACAATGACAAGCCCCAGTGGGTTTGAGGGTTTTGAGGGCTCGGGTCAGGATTGCTGTGGGCTCTTGTGCTCTTCTGAGCTGCCCTTGCACGCTATAAACCCTGAACACTAAACCCGAAAAAACCCTAAACCCAAAAGCCAAAAAAAAAAGTAAACCCTAAACCCTAAACCCCTACTCAGCGAGAGAGCGGTCACCTGAACCGCTCCCGGCGCCAACCTCACCTTCACCCCAGGCGCTGGAGAAAGCCCTGGCCGGCCAGCGCCAAGAGGTGACCTCAGAAGCTTTGGGCTTAGGGCTATTTAGGGTTTCGGGCATTTAGGGTTTGGGGCATTTAGGGTTTAGGGTCATCTAGGGTTTAGGGCTTGGGTTTAGGGTGATTTCGGGTTTAGGGCATCTAGGGTTTAGGGTTTTAGGGTTTTTTGGCCCTTAGGGGTATATCTGGCAGCTGTCTGATCGCTCTAGGGCTGTGGTGGACACGTCGCATCGAGTGAGAATTATACGTACATTCATTTTTTATTTATGTAGTTTTGATGTATGTATTCATTTGTTCATCTATTTATTTGTTCTTTTTGTTGTCATTATTACTCATATTAGACATTCTCATAGTTCATGATGAGCCATGGTTTGCGTGTAAGACAAAGTTTCAGGGTTAAGACTGGAGCCTCTGAGGTTTCGGGCCCTGGGATTCTGGGATTTTGGGATTCGGCCCCTCGACCTCCCAAGCCCTTAGAGAACCCCAAAAGCCAGGCAGACCGGGCCCTTGCGGCGGAGACGGCCGCAGCGGCCGAGGTGCAGAAGTCGCTGCAGCTGCAGGAGGAGGCTGGGTGCCCTTCAAGGAATCTCTTCGGGGTCCAGAGGGCTCCTTGGCAGCTTCCCGAGAGATCCCAAGCCCTAGATTCCCCAGACCCCCAGAATCCTGCGCGGAATGAACTGTCGACAAGGTGCCCTAAAAAGCAGTCCCCAAGAACTACAGCAGAAGCCGGCCGTGCTGTGTGATGAGACGGACCCGGGATTCACCGCGTGGGCAAACTACGCATCTCCTTGAATTATGGGAGTGGCGGCTGGTTCCTTTTGATTTGAGGAGACGTGGATCTGAAGTTTATCCACGTGTTCCCATCCGTCCTCAGTTCCAAGCTCCTTAAGGGGCCCCGGGCTTCGCCGGAGCTTAGCTGCGTGACCTGTTGCGGGAGGCAAGAAACGAGCCTCCTCAAAGCCATACGAGGGCTTCAGCGCATCAGGCTCCCAACAAGCTGCATGCCATAGATACCCCATTGATACCCCTCTGGGGTTTACGAAAATTGGGGGCCCCGAAATAGACCCCTAATAAGGACCGCCATAAGGTACCCCTAATTGGGAAGTCCTAAACCCGAAACCCTAAACCCTAAACCCCCCCAGAAGTCCTGGGGCGATCTACTTGAAAGCCGTTGTGATGGAGGCCTCGCATCTCGCCGCGCGGCTGTCGGACGCAGAGGTGCGGATGTTGGCCGAGAGGAGTACTATGGGGGGTCGGAAGAATTACTAATAGTATTCCCTTGTGGTCCCTTTGTAATTATACTATAATTACCCCCCAAACCCTATTCTCATTATGTTAAGGCTCCTATATTAAGAGGTGAGCAAGGGTTGAGTTGGTTGAGGGAGGGGGAGACGAAGTTGAGTGCTTGAGGGGAGCCTGCCGTGCTCTGCAGTAATGATCTAAGAAACACCAGGTAAACTGACTTGCAGAGCCGGCAGGCGCAGACCCTAAGGCCCTAAGGCCCCAAACACCCTTGAACTTCAAGTCCTATGCTGAACCCGAATACGCCTAGACCTTAAGCCCTAGAAGAACTTGGTATACTACAAGCCCTTCAAGTCCTACAAATACGATGAAACTTTTTTCTCCATCAATCCTAAATCCCCAAACCCACCCCACGCACCTTCAGCCGCAAGGCAAAGCTCGCGCAGCTCCCTGCGGTTCCTGCGGAGGACGCGAGCCTTCGCGAGGCTCGCTTGAAGACCTCTGGGCCACGAGAATAAACGAATACTGCAATAGAATATTAATGTACAGTAGAGCATAGAAGTTGAACTGCAAGAAACTGGAAATGCCTTGCAATTGGGGTTTACACAGATGAGCGTTTGTTATACGATTTGGGTTTACAGGTTGGGCTTAAGGTTTCGGGCTAAGACACCTGAGACTTTCCTAACAGGGTTCATGGGTGGTCAGAAGTGGTATCTCCGGATCTTCGCCGCCTTGGCAATAGCCAACGGAGACCTCGACGACCTCGAAGTTTTCCTTTGTTCTGGAGGCTGCGCAGCAGATTGAGGCGCTGCAGGCGCGTGCAGCGGCGGCCGATCAGGCTCGTGGGCTCCGATGTCCATACGGCTTAAGGCTTGCCAAGACCACCGTTGGCACAGCCAGCTCTGCCTTGGGAGCGGGGGCTGAGGGGGGGGGGGGGGGGGGGGGGCTGAGGGCTCTCGTAACATCGCCCTGGGCTTTGAATCTGCTGTCGGAGGAGCTGGCGCAGGCAAAGGCAGCTCAGCAGACCCAGAGAGAGGCGCACCGGGTGGGGCAATTGGAAGTTCGAGCAAACCCACGAAAGTGTTGAGTTGAGCTTGATAGGCCTTGCCTAGAGCAACGTTCTAAGCTTTCATCCAACAGGGAAAAGTGCCCTCGTCATTGTTAGGTAGCTGTCAGTCAGCCTCTAAGCCTACGACTTGGAGCTTGCGGCTTGAAAACCCCTGAACGATCCAATGCGCCGTCGTTTGTGGCGACCTCCGATGAAGGAGCTGGAGTCTGCCCTCGCCCGCCAGAGCAACGAGGCTTCATCCGCAAGTGAGCCACCCCAAATCGCCACAGCTGACACAACCCAGCTGCAACGTTGCCCACCCGCAGGCAGCGCAGCTCACGGCGCAGCTGGCAGAAGCCCAGGCTCAGCCGGGATTGGATCAGGAGGAGGGCAGCTCGGGAACGCACCTGCATTGAACAATGGCTGGGAGGTGTTTGGGGATGTGTAGGGGGATCTCAGCCAACCAGCAAGCTGCCACTCCCCCTTGGCATCAGGAGTTTTGCTGAGGCACAGGCACTTTTCGAACCATGCGGCAACCTAAACCCCTATACCTAAACCCTAAACCCTGACGTCTAAATCCCCATCTTCAGCCCGCGTGAGGCAAAGCTCGCGCAGCTCCCTGCGCTTCCTGCGGAGGACCCGAGCCTTCGCGAGGCGCCCTTGAAGGGCCCCGGGCAGAGTTGAGCTTTATAGGGGGTTTAGGTTTGCCGAGTTTGTAGGGCGTATAAGGTTTAAAGTTTAAGGGCTTAGGTTTAGGGTGCAAACTTAGGGTTTAGGGCTATACGGCGGCTAAGACACCTGAGACCTAACTATACTGCTGCATCCGAGCGCCGTGCAGACCCTGCGTCAGCCCTCGTTAAGGGGTCTGTAGTTGAGGGTTCAGGGGTGGTCATCAGTAGTATCCCCAGATCTTCGCAGCCATGGCACCACAAATCCTAAAAGCCCGAAATCTTGTCGGGAAAACCATTTGCAGTAGCCACCGAAACCTCGACGACCTCGAAGTCTTCCTTTCTTCTGGAGGCTACGCAGCAGATCGAGGCGCTGCAGGCGCGTGCAGCGGCGGCCGATCAGGCTCGCGGGCCCCCACGGGGGAGGGGGGGGGGGGAGGGGGGGGGCGAGGCCCTTAACCTCGCCATGAGCCTTGAATCGAATCTGTCGGAGGAGTTGGCGCAGGCCAAGGCGGCGCAGCAGACCCAGAGAGAGGCGCACATTCGAGCAAGCCCGTGACAGTGTTGAGTTGGGCTTAATAGGCCTTACCTAAACTTTTCATTAAACTTTTCGTCAAAAAGGGAAAAGTGCCCTCGTCATTGTTAGGTAGCTGTCAGTCAGCCTCTAAGCCTACGACTTGGAGCTTGCGGCTTGAAAACCCCTGAACGATCCAATGCGCCGTCGTTTGTGGCGACCTCCGATGAAGGAGCTGGAGTCTGCCCTCGCCCGCCAGAGCAACGAGGCTTCATCCGCAAGTGAGCCACCCCAAATCGCCACAGCTGACACAACCCAGCTGCAACGTTGCCCACCCGCAGGCAGCGCAGCTCACGGCGCAGCTGGCAGAAGCCCAGGCTCAGCCGGGATTGGATCAGGAGGAGGGCAGCTCGGGAACGCACCTGCATTGAACAATGGCTGGGAGGTGTTTGGGGATGTGTAGGGGGATCTCAGCCAACCAGCAAGCTGCCACTCCCCCTTGGCATCAGGAGCTGAAACGGCACTTTTCGAACCATGCGGCAGCCTAAACCCCTATAATCCCTCAACCCCTAAACTCCGAATCCCCTGAACCCTGCGGACCTTCGGGCCGCCGACGACTCGGACAGGGTCAACATTCTAATTCCTGAGTTATGAGGGTTCGTTGGGTTCAAGCAGGGGTTAGTACCGGTTAGGTAGGGTTTGGGATTTATAGTCAGTTTGTTGGATTGTTCCAGGCTTTCCGAGCTGCTGTTGTGCTTTCACAAGGGGTTGTGGGACCCTACTTGGAGACCTTATGCGACTTGCTTCAATCACCTTTTTCATTCAGGCACATTTAAGAATCTTATAATACCCTAAACCTCTTCAAGCACCCTAGACACTCCTAAAAACCCCTAAGCACCCTTTAACCTCCCTAACAGCCCTTGAAAGCCGCTCTAGAAGCTCCTCAAAACCCCCCAAACACCCTTCTCAAGAGCAGCCGCGGAGCTCCCTAAACCCTAAACCCTAAACCCTAAGACCCCCGAGCTGCAGAGGCGCAGCTTGTGCAGTTGGAGGAGCTGAAGTCCGACGCGGCAGCTCTGCGCGAGGACGCCGGGCTTTGAGGGGTTCTGGCGGGCTTTGGGCTCTTCGGGCGGGCGGGGGGGGGTTAGGGGGGGGGGGGGGGGGGGGGGGTGTCAGGGTCAGGGTTTGGGGGCGGGTAGAGAGCTTGGTTGCGGCCAGTCAGGTGCACTCACAGATCCGCCGTTTCCCAGCCTGCGCGAAACGCTTAAAGTACCGCTGCCGCGTCACGTAGTGCACGCTGCCGAGTTGCCGGTGATTGCTTATTTCCTCAAGCTGCTCTGATGCTGCTCTTCTAACGTGGAAGAACACCACCGCTGAGGAATCTGGGGGCGCTCAGTTTCCGAAGTTTGGGGTACCTTATTGGGGTCCTGACTATAAGTGTTTGGGATCTTCTTTGGGGGTCCCCAATTTTTCGTAAACCCCCTATGCACTCAAATTCTCCACACATTGCATGCCGAGGCCTCTCTGCGATTTCGGAGAGCGTAAAGTTGCCAACCCTTGGAAGCTCGCAGTATATGTGTACCCAGCATACAGTGCGCAAAGTATAGTAGGATGTTGAGAGCCTTAGGCCCGCTGGACCCCTGAGCCATGATAGATATTCCCAAAGCTTCTCGCACAGGAGCTCGCCACCGCGAGCGAGGGCCACTCAAAGGAGGCACAGACGAAGGACACCCTAAAAACCTAAATGTGAAAGTTGTAAAAGACCTGCTGCTCCGCATGGGTTGAGGGTTTTGGGGATGGGCTACAGTCAAAGGGCCTGAGAGCCTTCAACCCGGATATGTTTTAAGGGACCCTCTAACACCCTACCGTGGAAGACCCCTACACCCTACCAGAACTATATCTAATCCCTAAACCCTAAACCCTAAGCAAAAATCCGGCGCTGCAGCTCAAGAAGTTGGGTATATCTGCCCTCCACTGCCAGGCACAGCGCCTCCAAGCTCGCATCGAGGAGCTGGAGGCGGAGGGCCCCAAAGACCGGGCCTAAACCACCCGAAGCCCTACAATCCGCAACCCTAAGAACCCCTAAGCCCCAAAATCCTCAACCCTACAAACCGTAAACTCCCTAACCCTACACCTGAGGTACCTAACTAGTGAAGGCAAAAGCAGGCTATCCAGTGCCAGGTAACTGGAGGTGTGAGATTGTTTGGCGAGAATTCCGCATAGAACGGCTCGGAGGTTGCAGAGCTTGTGAGGGGGGCGTTAGGGTTCAGGGTTTGGAGTTGAGGGATCTTCAGGGAGTTAGGGTTTGCCATGGGAGAAGCGGGTGAGCGAGCCCAATCGGGCTTCGGAACTCGGAAAGCTGCAAATAATTAGGGTTCTGGAGATCCGGCGGTAAGGGGATCGGGTGTGGGAATCTCGTGCAGTTGCAAGTCTTGGGAATCCGGGGGCCAAGGGAATGTGAAAGCATACAGTTGGTGTGCATACAGGCATTTGAGGATTTAAGGTTTAAAGAGAGTTGTCACGTTGTGGGGTTGCATCTCGGGGCACCCTGCGCCCCAACCCGATGATGTTTAATCCCTGGGCCCTGTTAGAGAAGATCATGGGCCCGAAAGGCGCGCTTGAAGCCCTAAACCCCTAAATCCCTAGACCCTTGAAAAGTCCAAAAACCCAAAGTTCAACCCAGAACAGCCCCTAAGCCAAAGTCCCTGCGTGTACCCCCGCATACCCCCCTTTGACCCTGATAAACTGCACCAAAGTTCCAACTCCGACACCAGAGAGGCCCAGGCGTCAGAGACCCAAGCCTCCGCAGCCAGGCAGCAGGAGGAGAGCCCGTCAGGGCTTGTAGGCTTGAGGGTTGATTTTAGGGCTTTTTGGGCTGAGGTTTGGATGAAGATTTGAGTAGCCCCCGCCCCCCTTGCCCCCGACAGATAAACCTCCCGAACGCGGGCCGAGCCTTCCCTGGGGCCCACAACCTCAACACCCCGAGCAATACACGAGATCGCGTGCAGGTTATGGTCCTTCTTGGGAGGTCCGACTTTTAAGCCCTAAGCCCTGGACCCCCCTGAGCCCAGAAAAAGGGGGGCCCAAAAAAATTCCACATGTTTGGCCACTCGAAGTGACAGGCCCAAAGTCCAAGCCTACGGCCTTTAGTTCCGATTTAGGGGATTCAATAGAGGGTTTAGGGTTTAGGGCTTAGGGGGTGCGGAGGGTTGCGGGGGTTTTGGGAGGGTTGGGGGAGATTTCAGGGCCCGAGCCTCAAAGGAGATACAGAAGCTGGGTGAAGAGGCTGGCTGATGAAGCTCTCTTTCTTGTATGAACGTAATTACTCCGCTGCAGCTCCCAGTGTGCTCTGCATCCCCACGCCAAAGAGACGCGGCGAACCTTCACAGATCACGTGTTTTGGTGTGAATCCGACACTCTGTGCTTTGATCCCCGTGCGCCAAAAACCAGAAACGTCGGAGCCTCTCAAAGCCCCAAAATGAAAAAGCCCCGAAGCCCAATCGCTCAAAGGGCTTTCAGCTCTCCTGCCAGGCAGGTCGCCACCAGCAAACCCGGGACGCGCTGCTCCTGCGGGAGCAGGAGCTCCCCCGAGGTGGTTGTTTGGCTCATACTGAGCGGAAGACGAATTAGCAAGAGAAACCATAGACACAGGCACTGGGTGGGACCCCGGGGCATTTTTTCCCTTATTGGGTTTAAGAGGATCCTGTTTATGATGTTTTTCAGAAGGTTTCAGGGGCCAAGCTAGACCATCGAGAATACTGAAAGTGACAGATAAGTTGGTGGCGCTGCGGGTGTGGAGGCTTTGGGGGAGAGGGGTCTCCGGAACACCTTCGGGAACAACGGGGCCAAGAGTCTGCTGCGGGAATCCTTCCGAAAGAGCAACCTGAGACTTTCTGGGTACGAGTTTTTGAGCCCCTCTACGTGCAGAGACCCCTGAACCCCTCAAACCCCTGAACCCTGAACCACAGGCCCTCAAAACCCCCACAGCCTAAGCCACAGAGGAGCTTCAGATCGCCAAGGACGCCGCGGTGAAGACCGGGGAGGCTGCTGAAGTTTAGGGCAGGTAGGTACAGTGAAGGCTCCTAGGAAACTACCTGATCCGCTGTCGCGAAATTCTTAGACGTTTGCGAAAAGAAGGCCCCAAATATGAACCCTCAAATAGGATTCCCCCTATAGCAAGGACCCCAATAAGGTACCCCGAATTTCGTAAGACGTTTGAACACCCCTCTAAGCACCCTAAACCCTAAGCCCCTCAAGCCGTGGCTGTGCCCGAATCGCGACCCCAGGCGCTGGAGAAAGCCCTGGCCAGCCAGCGCCAAGAGGCGAGGGGCTTCAAGTAGGAGCATAAAGCTGGGCATTTAGGGTTTAGGGTTTAGGGTTTAGGGTTAGGGTTTAGGGTTTAGGCTATCTATTTTGGGCAATGCTCTAAATTACGGCTCCTTCTCTTTGGGGTGCCCTGAATCCAACGGCACTTGTAAGCTTAAACCCCAAACCTAACCCCAATCGTCGCGGAGTACTGGTTGTATGCGATATAAGCCTGGGAAATTGCGTCGCTTAACTTGTTATGCTCTTCTTGAACCGGGTCAAGTTTCAAGCTCCTTTCGCAGTTTCACAGTAGATTTTCATACTACTATCAAACTCGTATCAAACTCCAGTTTCAAGCTCGCCGTTAAGTGGGAACTGCATTTCCTGGACACGAAAACCAGACGAACCTGGGATCTCTGGGTTGTGGAGGCTTAAATGTGTGCTTTAACATGCAATTCCGCCTCAACAGCGGGTTTGAAAATGGAGTTTGATACAAGTTTGACTGTAGTACGAAACTACTATGAAACTTCGAAATGGAGCTTGAAACTTGAAAAAGTGCGACATGGACCTTGCCACACCTCTGCAGGTGAGACCACGATTTTTGAGCCCACGTTCACGGATGCTCCTTACGAGAGCACAAACTTACCGTTGTACCTTGACCGGGATGCGTAGCACAAAGTTACCTCTGTACCTTGGCCTCGTCATTTTCCTAATGCTCGTGGACCACACGTGCTTGCATAGACCCCAACAGCCCCCAAATCGCACGGTTCATAGACGAAATCCTGCAGCACTTAGAGCTACCGCGGGCCATCCCTTCCAAACCCTGAATCATTGGTTTCAGAACAGGTGCAGATGGCATGCGCGCGAACGACACAAATCCTGCATCCGCCATGCGTGTAGTCAACCTTAAAACACCGGGTCATGCACCATCATGTCCATCCGCCCTATGATGAGCCGCGCCCTAAAACTCCACCCCCAAGCCAATCATCGCAACAGTTACTTGGGCCCACGGGTCTGAATACCCGTCCCAAAAGGCAGACCGCGCCCTGGCGGCGGAGACGGCCACCGCGGCGGAGCTGCAGAAGTCGCGGCAGCTGAAGGAGGAGGCTCGGCCTGACGGCCTCTATGGGGCCTCTAGGGTTTTGGAGTTCAGGATTCAGGCTTCAGGGCATAGGGTTTAGGATCTGGGATTCAGGGTTTAGGGTTCAAGGCTCCGGGTTGTTGGGCGTTAAAGATTTGAGGAAAGCTGTTCCTTGCGACAGGAGGCAGGGGCACATGCTGCTGCACCCCCGACCACCCCTCCCCCCACCGCCCACTCCCACTCTAACACTGTCTTTTCCCCTAAACCACTGTGCGGTGACGCGCCCTTTTGCGCCAAACCACCCTACACCCCTGGCACTCTCAGCCGATCTTCGAAGCCCCGAAATGACCCTGGCACCTACACCGAGTGATCGACATTTTCGGACACCGTCGTAAACCCCAGAATCCGAAATTCCCATCATGGGACCCTAGATGATACACCTTGCAAGCCGTTGAGATGCAGGCAGCACAGCTCGCCACGCGGCTATCGGAGGCAGAGGCGTGGATCTTGGCTACACCCTTTGACCCTTTGAATCTGAGATTCTCTGAAGGCAGGAGAGGCAAGGAGGTCGAGGGATAAGGGTGCGAAGTTGAGTGCTTGAGGAGGCGCTGTTTTCAGCTCACAGAAGCATGGTCAACGTCTGTCCAAGCCTAGGCTTTGTCTTCAAGTAGGATCTACCTGTTGCGGCGATTGGATTGGAATGCTGGGCTCCAGTTTGTGTCGGGCCTTGTCGGTTTCGATCAGCCGAAACCTGTCACTGAAAGCACAAGGTGCATGCAGCGGGCAAGCGCCGAAAGAGAGCCTCACCTTACCCCTACACACCGAGCGAGGCCAAGCTGGAGCAGCTTCCAGCGCTCCGCAAGGAAGCCTCGAGCCTGCGCGAGGCTTTCTTCAAGGGCAAGGGAAAGGGGAGAAGGGGGGGGGGGGGGGGGGGGGGGGGAGGCTTGGTTCCTGGTGCTGCAATTCTTGCTATGGTGGGACAATGAAAGATCCACTGCCTTGCAGGTCCCGGGTCCCAGGTGTGAGTCTGAGAGCCAGTTCTAAACCTCAGGGATTTTGTTGGGTTCCGGGGGGATTGGGGGGATTGGGCTGCTTTTGGTGATGTATTGGTCCAAACCCCAAACCCTGAACCCAGCTGACAGGCCCTAAGGGCCGGGCGACAGGAGAGCGAGCTCGAGGTGCAGGGGGGGATCATGCTTCTGGGAATTCACGCTTTCGGGGATTCAGGGGGATTGCGGCTTAGGGTTTAGGGGTTTATGGGGTTTAGGGCTTTGGGTTGCAAGTTTAGGGTTTAGGGCCCTGACTGGCATGAAGTGGGCTCGTGCTCCTTGACGCTTGCTTTGCACTACAGAGCTTATTGTACTCGCTTCGCCGTGAGGAGTACGCACGCCTGGCTATTTGTGTGACCTGACATTGCCTTTCCATGCGAGCTACAGGTTACAGGTTCTTTTTGGAATAAAGCTCTGTCAGAAGAGTCTCGGCCATGTGCTTGCAGTTTTATCTTGTCTATAAGTTGAAGCGTAGATCGGATCTGTCGACAGCTACCTTACGCCTCAGGCAATGGGTGGCTTTCAATTGGGCTGAAGACTGACCAGTGAAGGGTTTCGGTTGCATGGTCTTCCAGGAGGTTCACAATCCCATACCCAGCTTGAGACTAAGCCATATCAGCTATAGAGAGTAAGCCGATTGTCGTATACCACTGAGGCCCCCAAACAGCGCCAACTTCGCCATCCTACGCGCCCTTGAGAGCCTCAAACACCCGTGCGAATCGTGCGAAGGTGGCCGCAGCAAGGCGCGCTACCGAGGCCAGCTGCAGTGTTGGGATTTTGTTTTTTTTTTTTTTTAAGGGTTTTAGGGGTTTAGGGCTTGGGGTTTTAGGGTTTTTTTTCAGGGTTTGGGGTGTTTGAAGGTGTCTGGGTTTGGGGGGTTGAAAAGGTTCTGAAGCCCTCATGTCACTCTCAGCTCTAGCAGCCTCCCATCTCCCCAGAAGCCTTCTGCGGCAATTAGGGGTTAGGGTTTAGGGTTTAGGGTTTAGGGGTTAGGGTTTTGGGGTTTAGGGTTCAGGGTAAGAAGCCAACTCAACAAGAAAGTCCAACCGAAACGTTGCCAAATGGAGATGGTCCCAAAAGAAATTCTCCACTAACCCTGCCTTTATAAACCTTAAACCCCAAACTTGCTGGTCGCGAGATCGGCACCTTGCAAAATCTCTGAAAGGTTTCTGCAGGGGGACGCGAGGTACGGAATTCTCGCACTACTAGGAACTAGCAAGTAAACACCCAAAGCGCTTCAACCCTACTTAAACCCGAACCCTGAACCCCCTGAACCCTCAACCCCTCGATCCTTCGCACCCAGACAGCAGGAAGCACTCGGGGAACTCCGGCAAGTGGAGCTCGCACGCCAGTGTGCCGCCTCCAAGGAGGCCTAAGGGCCACTTCTGTGTTTTAGGGCGGTGCCGGAGTTTCTCGGCCCTTTAAGGTTTTTCATTGCCAGACATACTTCCGAGGGGCCATAGCAAAGTATGACTCTCCGAGGGGCTGGAAGAACTGAGGGCTTCAGGTGGATTTGATGACGATGGTGAGTACGATTACAAAGACTCGTGGCTTTGTGTGTTTTTGTGGAAACTTTGGGTTTAGGGTTTCGGCGCATGAAACACGCCCCGGAACAGGCGAGTCCCTTCGAAAGGGTACCTCTCCTGCAAACCCTTTGAGGCCTGGGGTTCGGCCTATGGGGCGCAAGGGGCACCAACAGTACGGTGCGCGTCCGCATCGCGTAGTGAACATGCAGCCTGTCGAAAGCTATGAATCTCTCGAAGGACTGCAAGCTCCGGAAGAGGTAAGCTCGACCCAAACCCCCGAAACCCTCGAACCTAAACCCCCCCCCCCCGCCCGGCCGTCTGCGCAGGCTGCCGAACTGGCAGGCCTCAACGCGCAGCTGCGGTGCCTCCAGGAGGCTGTGGGCTTATAGGAGATGTAGGACTTCAGGGGGTTAGGATACACCCTAATCGCCACCAAAGCCTCAACCTTTTCCCTGCGGCAGGATCACTTGAGTCAAGGTATGTAAGGTTGAGGGGTTGAGGCTTTTAGGGTTGTTACGCATCACGAATTTAATGTTCTTGTTAGACCTTTGCACTTGTCACTGTCCCAGAAACTGACACCTCGGTCTTCCTATGGTTAAAAGTCCATCGTGCCAAACCCTAAGCCCGAAACCCTTGTTAAAAAACAAGACACTCCTCGAACTCTGACACTCCAAAGGCTCCGAGTTCAATTCAGCGTCCCCCCCAAGTACCCCAACCCCCCCCCCCCCGGAACATAAAGACCTACTTTCAAGCCTCCCAAACTCCAAGCAAACCCATACCCCTACAACTCCCCCTCCCAAACCCCAAAACCCCCACAACCCATCGCCACAGCTGGGCTCCCAAGCCAGGAGCGGCAGCGCGAGGCCCACCAGGCAGCTGACCTGGCGGCGTCGCTAAAGCAGGCGCTCGAGCTGTTGCTTATTCAATTTGGAATTTGGCATTGTGATGAATGTGTTGTTTTGCGTTGTTGTGTGTCGTTTTGTGTTGTTTTGGTATGGGTTTATTTATTGAAGATGGTTTGTTTGTCCATGTGTTGGGTGAACGGGGTGAAAAAATGTGGCTACGAGAAACTGTCACCACTTTTTGACTTCTGGGCTCGCATGGTCCCTCACTATTTGGGGTCTACGCTGGCATGAAAAACTACTCAGAGGATTTAGGGTGTAGGGTTTAGGGTTTAGGGTTTAGGCCTGAAGCCTCAACACCTGGCTTGATGCAGCCGCACAAATCTCCCGCCGCAGGAGCAGGTGCAGCGGGCAGCCCTCGAGGCAGAAAGGGCCGAGGTGCGCAACCGGATGGAGGCCCCTTCATTCTAAACGTGAAGGGTTGGGGGGGGGGGGAGGGCGGGGGGGGGGGCGGGGGGGGGGGGGGCGGGGGGGGCGGGGGGCGGGGGGGGGGGGTGGGGGGGGGGGGGGGGCGGGGGGGGGGGCGGGAGGGGGCGGGGGGGGGGGGGGGCGGGGGGGGGCAGGGGGCGGGGGGTGGGGGGGTGGGGGGAGGGGCGGGGGGGTTGGGGGGGCGGGGGGGGGGCGGGGGGGGGGCGGGGGGGGGGGGGGGCGGGGGGGGGGGGGGGGGGGGCGGGGGGGGGGGGGGGGGGGGGGGGGGGGGGGGGGGTAGTGGGTTTCAAGTAGGATTCAAGGTCATCGACTGCGGAGCAATGATTGCAGGGTTTCTTTGCCCCTCCCCGCCCTAATGTTCATCCCCACCCATAAGGAAACCGACTACTCTGTACATCCATGTGACTTGATGTGGGCAATAGTTCCTGAACAGCAAATCCAGAAAATAGGGACCTATGAACGTTACGGTCACTTGTTTGTTTTTTTTTTTTTGGGGGGGGGGGGGGGGGGGGGGCGGAGGGGGGGAGGCCTCCAGTCCTGCGGCTCCAAGGACAGCCCACACCCACACCCACACCCACCCGACAGCCGGAAAGCAGCATTCGCCCCACTCAATCCCCAGATGCACCCCAAGCGCCACAACATCCCACAGAACTCCGCCCCAAACCCTGAAGCCTAAACCTACCAACAAGTCAAGATGTTGAGATTTACATGAAGGCGACCCTTCTGCAACCCAACTCGTGCCTTGACAGGGGCTCCAGCAGGAGCTCGTGCGTCTGAGAACCACGAGCGCGCAGCAGGACCTCGCGCGGGAGGGGTGTGGTTTAACAATTTTTGGGGTGACTTGTTGCTTCCACATCGGGCGGCGCTCATCTTATCGCTGGACGCCAGGGAGAGAGGACGTTGAAATCAAGAGTGATTACAGTAGCGCCCCATGCCTTCATTCCCTCCTAAACATCAACAAGGCCTCGAAGATTGGGTGACGAAGTCTTGCAGGATTAACATTGTGGGTTTGCTTGAGGCTCTCCAGTACCTTCATCACACATGCATCTACCCAAGCGTAAGCACCGCACCTGAAAACTCCAAGCCCTCAACCCTAAATAGCCCTTCAACCTTAAGCCCGAGAAAAACTCCCCCTAAACCGTAGTAACCCTAGAAACCCTACTAGAAACCCTAAACCCTACTAGAAACCCTGCTAGAAACCCTAAACCCTAGAAACCCTAAACTCTAGAAGCCCTAGAAACCCTATAAACCTTATAAGCCCTAGACCCGAAACCCCCCCCACACCCCCGGAGCTCTGCGGCAGAGGCCCACGCCGCGGAGCTCGAGTTGCAAAAGCTGCGGGCAGAGGCCCTGATTTTTTTTGAGTGGGGTTTTAGGGGTTGTTTAGGGGGTTTTTAGGGTTTTGTTAAGGGGTTGTTTAACGTTGGTGTTTAGGGCTTTTGTTAGGGGTAGGGCCTTTTGGGGCCTTCAGGTGAGTACAGGAGCCTTGTTTTGAGTGGATTTTCGGGTTTTTGAGGTTTAGCGGCTTTAGAGGTTTTTAGGGTTTTGGGGTTTTCAGGGTTTTGAAATTTAGGGGGATCTGATACAGGAGCCATTGTTTTAGATTTGTGGCTTTATGGCAATTTGTTCTGCGTCTCTTACACTGGGCTTTGTGTTTTGGGGTTCCACGGGCTTCGGGTCTGGGATTTGAGGCTTAAGGGCTTAATTGCTTGGAGGCTTTTACGAGGGGGATTTCATGGTTCGTAGGAGTTTGGGGTTTCATCAGGGCTTGGGCCATTAGGTCTGCTAGGGTTTGGGAGTAAACGGGGGGGCGGAGTCTAGCGATCGCTTCTCGGTTTGGAGAAGGGGTTTGCGGGGGAGGGCGGGGGAGAGGGAGGAGACATCAAATCTGCGTGCTTCACGACCTATTTATCATGTCCTTAAGGAAGGGTCTTGTGGTGGGGGGGGGGGGGGGGTCTCAAGGGCCTTATAAGCCTTGAGACCTTCTTAGGATTGCACTTGAGAACCCCTCCTCTGTTCTTGTTAAGAATCCCAGATTATTAAGTGGCCTAGTCATAGTACTATATCGGTTCCTGGTAGGGTTTTTGCCAACTCGGCATCCTGTTTACTGGACATGCGGCACGTAATTCCATCATTCAGTGTTAAAAATCAGACATGGTAAGGTTATAAGCTTCTAAGGGAGCTAAATTTAAAGCTTGTTAAGACGATCCGAGTGCGGCGCGTGTCAGGTCGAACGGCGCCCCCCCTCCTCTGCAAGGAGTCTTCCGAGGCGATTGGCGGCTACCTTGGTAGTTCTTCGTAGCGAATGAGGGAATTAGGGCGCCTGTCGGTTTTTTTTTATGTAACCCCTTTTTGAAGGGATTTGCATAGGGCACCTACTTCCCAAACTCCCTATACTAGTCATAGAACCTACGCGTGTAACGAACTGTGGCATTGGAAGATGCTCTCCAGATGAGTTTGTTATTGCCGGTACGTTGGCATTGGTTCATTTTTTGTTTGCTTTGATCCGGTGTCTATGCGATTTTGCTCTTACTTCATACCTGTTTGCGCGAATGTGTTTAGTCTTTACTGGTTGTGCAAATCTGTACACAGGACTTTTGCTATTGCATGTAAAGGAGCTCCTTAAGTTGCCCTTCATACCCCCCACTTCCCAGCACGTGGGACCAAAAGCCCGAAAGCCCCTACCATGCCCGCGGGCGCAAAAGAGCACAGTCCGTCAGCACCCATCGGCCCTAGGACCCCCAACCTGAAGGCCCCTAAACAGACCCTCAAGCAAGCAAGCGACTTCGAGAGACTCCAAGCCAACCTAATCCCCCGCAGCCAAACGCAGGTCCGGCAGAGCGGAAAGCGAGGTGGGGAGCTTATCCCCCATCCTGGCGGGCTTTTCGGGGAGACTGGCTGGCTGGATACAGAAGTACCCATCTGTTTTTATTGACGTTTCGTGAATGTGCAAATAAGTGGCATGCGCTATAGAGTGTAGGGGGGTGCTGGGGTTTCGTGTCGTTTGAGGTCCAGGAGGTTGCTTTTGGGTTCCAAGCTGAGCTCTCGAGGGCTTCTCCACCCGAGTCCCGACAGAGCAACCGGTGCTGCGCTCCTTAACGTGCTACCTCGGATGTGGGGCTTAGGGCTCAGGATGTCGTTTCGGGATTGGGATGTAAGGTTTAGGGTTGTTCATAGCTACGCGTCTCGAAGCTGAGGGGGCTTGAGGGCTGCAGCAGCTTCGGGGTCTAGGGTTTGTGACTTTAGAGGTTCCAGGATAGAACCCGAAACCCTAAAACCTGTGATTTCAGGGTTTCATGAGAATCTGTAGAGGGCTCTGGAATCGACTGGGAGGTTCGCTGCCCCTCCTGCCCCCACCCCACCCCCGAAACCTGAGATTAATCGTCCTTCTTACTGATATAGGCATTATTGCAGCTTGATGCTATTCTGTCTTGTGAGGGGAAACAGTCCCGAGCCCCCAGAAAAAACACGAACACAATACAAGGGGGGCTTTTCGGTCTCTCGCCAGATTCACGGCAGGGCGTTCGGATTTCTCAACGTTCAACTCCCGGGTCTGGATCGTAGTGCGCGGGGCCCAGGCGAGCATCGTCTCAACAGCTCACAAGTCGCACTACGCCATGGAGGAGCCGCAGTTGCTGTCTTGTCCGTCTGTGCAGCCTCGATGTCTGATCGAAACCTAGGATGACAGTCTTAATCAGAACAGCGTGGGGGGTGCTGTGTTTGGGGAAAGGTCCGGGAAAGGTTCACTTCGGGATCCGCGTATCAAGGCCAGGAAGAAACTGCAAGGCTGGGGAGGCTAAAGGCATTCACGTTCATCCTAAACGCAGCAGGGAATTTGGAAGCTCTGGGTCTAGTAATAATTTTCTAACTTTCTAACTATATCGTGTACTTAGAACAGTCAGACATTCAGAACGTTAACAATAGGGCGTCGGGATGGGGAGGGGAAGGTGGGGGGGGGGGGGGGTCGGACCAGGTTGGGGGGGGGGGGGGGGGGGGAACGCATGAAGGGATGCGAAAAATGAAGTGACCCTTAACTCTCCCACCTAACTCACTCTTATGTAATTCACCGTTATGGAAATGCTATGGAACTGCTATGTAGTCCCTTTATGCTCTAGCCCCTGTGCTCCAAGTGTTGAATCGAAGTTCGTGGAAGAATACGAGAGCAAAGATCCCCCCTATCTCCCTCTTGGGAATTATTTTTTGTTCATATAAAATCCCAAGGGGATATTAAAAATAATAGTTTTTTTTGGGTTCTAAGGGGAGTATAGCCCCCAAAAGTGACCCCAAAGTGTGGGCCGAAGGAGAGCACCGTGTCGCTCCACCTCGCCCTTCGCCAGGAGCCATGGACAGGTCTTGGTCTTGGACCTTAGAACCCTTAAGTCCTAAACCCTAAACCCTAAACCCTAAACCCTAAACTCTTAAGTCCAGAGAGAGCCATGAACCCTAAATCCCCTCCTTCTTGAAAAGTTGTCGGCCAGTCTTGAAAAACGTCGGCGGGGCCGTGCCGCACGGATTCTGCCTGGTTCAGAGCCCTTCAAGCCTACTTGATGGCTCACCGGGTACTGAAAGTAGGGTTCAGGGAATTTTCGGGCTTTAGGGTGTGGAGGGAAAAGATTCGGGAATTTTGGGGTTCTCATGAGCACCTACGTGTGTACCATGAGAACTTATGAAGGTGCAGGGCTTACGAGATCCCAAACGGTGCATTGGCTTCCTTTGTAATTTTGGGTTGGGCTCCCGGATGCATCCTCATGAAACAAGAACAAGGTTTCCTGTTTCTTCTCGCGTTTGCACGGTAAACCCTAAACCTTAAACCCTACGCCCTAAACCCTAAATCCTAGCGATCAAAAAGAACCTAAGGATCCCTAAACCCCAAACCCCGATCCCTAAACCCTAAACCCTAACCCTAAACCCTAACCCCAAACCCCAAACCCTAAACCCTAAAGCCCCCTAAGCCGCACGTCGCGGCAGACAGGACCCCCGCCCGGAGAACGGCGCCCACTCGCCGGCGATTCGGGCCAGCCTGGACTGCGAGGTCCTGCATGCCCTGCATGCCCCCCTAGCCTACTATTTGCTTAAGAAGCCCAAAAGATTTTTTAAGAAAAAATCCCCATATTACCCGTAATAAAGAAGATTGTTTTTTTAAGCAATTAGTAGTAGCCCTAGTAGATTAGAGATCGGATGACTTTACACAAAAGATACAAAAAGCACTCATCAACTTTAACCTTGTTCTGGGGAGGAAGGCTTAGGGTCAATCGAGGCCTGGAGTTCGTGCTTTATTTTACTGCTACCTGGCCTACGATGGGGGGAGGGGAGCCTGACGCAAGCCTCAACTCACTGTGTCTCCTCAAAATTCAAAATTCAAAATGGTCTGCAGTGTGCTTTATGGAATACCCCTTCTCTCTGTTAATAAGGGCATCGGTCTGCGTTTACGATTCCTTCGGGCTCTGCAGTTTTTGGACTTTCGCAGAACCCCAAGACCTCATGCCGAGCTTGGCCACATGGTTGCGCTTCAGCAAGAACAGTTTAAGGGTGCCCGTGGGCTCAGAATATGGGGTCGTATTTGGCTCAGGCCCTGTTGTGATGGAATCATGTGCCTAGTGCCTGTTATTGGGTTTAAGAGGATTATGCTCAGGAATGGTTTCCGAGGGTTTACCATTCACAGACGCCAGGTCGTTCCGGTGTCTGCGCCTTGCTTGGCAACTCCGCCTGCAAGCAAAGCCCCAAACCCTTAACCCTAAAACCGCAAAGTTGAAATCCTAAGCTCCAGAGCAACGAGTTGTCCAGTTTAGACCCAAATAAGGGACTGTTTAGGCTTTAGGGTTAAGGATGCAAATCTCCTCCCTTGCAATTCCTTATTTCAAAGTCCGGGGCACAAGGCGGCCTGTTAGCCCCCAAACCTGGACAACTCCTGCAGCCGCTGGGCTGGAGCCCCCAACGGGCTCTAGGGTTCAGGGTTTGAGGGTTTTAGGGTTTAGGGTTTAGGGTTTAGGGTTTAGGGCTTCCTTTCTTTGATGTTGTTTGGGTATGAACAGAGGAGGCATACGCCTGAACGCTTCTGAACCTGAAGCCTCAAACCCTTAGTAAGCTTCTTAGCTTAGCTGCTGCGGAACCTAAAGCCTAAACCCTAAACCCTAAACCCTCTCCGAAACCATGAGCTCGAGGCCTCCATCGAAGTGGCCGGCTGCCAGGGCAGATGGGGCCTGAGTCCGGGCGTGATGCGTGGAGAGCTTTATACACCCTAAACCCTAAACCCTAAACCTTAAACCCTAAAGGTCTCTTGGAGGGCGTTTGGGGTTCCAAGGGTTTAGGGTTTAGGGTTTCGGGCTTAGAGGGTGTTTGGGGTTCCAAGGGTTTTGTGGCGATTTGGGGGATTGTAGGGCTTCTGCGTGGAGAGCTTTCAGACAGGTCTTAGAGGGCGTTTGGGGGGGCTTTCAGATTTAGGGGTTTAGGAATTTGGGTCTTAGGGCGTTAGGGGCTTGAAGGGTTTTGGGGGATTTTCGGGTTTTAGGGTTTTAGCCCTCGTTTTAGGTTTTAGGGCATTGTTGGCGAGTCCAGGGCTTACGGGGGATGAGAAACCTGGGCCACGGCCCCACCAGCCTGGGAAGTCGCAAGGTCAGCCGAGCTTGGCGGACACCTGGCCAAACAAGGCGTGCGCTTCGCGTGGGCAAGCTAGGGGGCCTCTTCCTTTCAATTTGCGTTGCGGAAGTACGTTTCTGTCGGGGCTGTAAGCGGATGATATTGGTAGCTTTTCAAGCTCGTAGTCCGCATTAAACCGCTATTCCCTGTGCCCCAAGACTGGGTCTCGGAAGCCTTGAATGGCAAACCCTACACTGCCTACATCCCTAAGCCTGATCCTCCAACGCTGCCCGAATGACCCGATGGACTGTCAGGATGCCCCCTGCCCCGCTCCCCCCCAAAAGAGACGGCCCTTTAAGGCGAACCCTCAACCCCATCACAGGAACAGAGCAAAGAAGCCCCCAATCCATTCTCGGATGTGGGCTTCCTGGGAATGAGACAACAGCAAGAAGAGGCTCGACCTTGAAGCTATTGGAGCCCTGGATTGCTGTTACGTACAAATTTTGTGTAAGCTACATGATTTTTTTACGGTAGCTTCGGTTTGAGATCCCTACTAGCAGCCCAGAAGCTCGAGTCTAGATCCTGCACCCGAAAAGCTTGAAACCCCAGATCCCGAATCCTAAACCCTAGAAGATGAAGAAGAAGTCTCCGAATCAACTCAGTCTCTTGAAGGTGGTCTCCGAAACGCCCCGGTCTGGGCAGTTCATCGTGGCAGAGGCCCTGACCGACGATGCGCGCAAGACCGTCCACAGCCCCAGGACTACCGAAAGCTCCTGAACCCTTATACCCATCTGGATTTAAGAGCAATTCCCCTGGTGTTGAGTTCCTGCAATATATTCCTTGATGCAAACAAGGGCTTAGGGTTTAGGGTTGGACAGCTGAAAATCCCTCTAGGCTCAGGGCTTGAGGGGTATGTTGGGGGGTTCGGGGCGAGAGGGAGTTCCCACGCACTGCACGGGGTTCGAGGTGTAGGGCTTAGAAGTGTAGACCCTAAATCCTGAACTCTACACACCAAACCCCTGAACCCACCAAGGCGCTCGACTTGGCCAGAGACGTGGAGCGGACGAGGGAAGCACTTGACCGGGAGCCCGGAAGGGAGAGCTGGGGAGATTGGAGGCTTAGGAGGGTTTAGGGGTTGAAGGGTTTCATTCTTCACCCAAGAGAGAGAAATGTCAAAATGCGAGTTGCACCGATCAATATTCCACAACTACTTTAAGCCTTCCTGCCAAAACCCCCAAAATCCCGAGGCGCTTGCGGCTGGTGAAGAGCTTCCGAGGCACAGCAGCGCCGTCAAAGACCTGCAATCCCAAGTGGTTTGGGTTTCAGAGCTTAGGGCTTAGGGTTTAGGGTTTGGGGTTTAGGGTTTAGAGCTGTTTGCGTTTCAGGGCTTAGGGTTGTACATGCTGAGGCACGTCAAGGTCTAGGCAAGGGTTTTTGGAACTGGTTTTTTTTCCTAGTGCAAGGCAACTGTCAGTTTGCCCATCAACCTTGGCAGTTTGGAACTGGTAGTCGTTGTATACTCACGATGCAGTGTGGGCAACTGACTAGCAATTTGTGAAACAGTTAATTGGCTCATGCGCTTCTAAAGCACGACCAAGTCGAGCAGCAACATCACATTTAAACATGTTGTATAATTAGTGGAGATCTTCAATGTAAGTTTAAAGGATGTAGTTCCTTCTAGCTTCGCTGCGCCCTGAAATCTAAGCCCCCATGAGAAGGATCTTGTGGGTTCCGTGTGGCCGAGCAGGCCGTCGTTGCCCAGCCGGGGCTCGGCGGGCACGACCCCGCGGACGCCCGAGCTGACGGCGAGGACGAGGGGGTCAAGCACCTCATCATGCGACCCTGAATTCTAAAAAAGGGTTCAGGGTTTGGGGCTTAAGGCTTGGAGTGGACCAGGAGGGCTGAACAACTTCAAGGCCCAGCTTTACCCGTTTGCCCTTCTTGGGTTCCGCTCACACCAGGGGTACCCTCCTTAACTAACCCCTTGCTCTCACCTGGCTACCCCGCCACGCAGAGGCAAAAGCCGCAGGATGAGACCGGAGTAACGATTGGGCGTTGGAGGGTCTTTGCAGCATGTTTAGGGGCTTGGGGACCTTTGGGGGATTTTTCAAGTGCTCTGCGCACTTTCAAGCTTGTTGTGGTCATCCGTCGGAGAAGTTGAGAATTGGGAAGGCATCAGCTTCTGACATGAATTCTTGCTGGCACAAAGAGCAGGGCCTCCATAAGAGCCTAGCCAGCGCTGCTGCAAGTCCAGGATGGCATAGACACCTTACAGCTTCGCTGACTAGCGCTTTGTAAGGAAGTGGAGAATCAGGCACTGTGTGTGTGTGTGTGAAGAGATATACACACATATATAGATATATATATATACATATATATATACATTCATTCATTCATTCATTCATTCATTCATTCATTCATTCATTCATTCGTTCATTCGTTTATTTATTTATTTATATTTATATTTATATGTTTACATACATTTTTGCCTTGATTTATTTTTTATGCTCTTTATATTCATTTATACTTATATATTTATATATTTATATATTTATATATTTATATATTTATATATTTATATATTTATATATTTATATATTTATATGTTTTTATATTTATATATTTATATATAAATATTTTTATATATTTATATATTTATGTATCTATTTTTTATTTATTCGTTTTTTACATTTATATTTATATGTATCTTTATATTTATATTTTGAATTATATTTTTGTATTTATATTTAGTTTTATATGTGGACACACGCTCCCCCATGAAAGTGCCCTCTGAAGTCTTTATTTGGAAGCTGATGCTCGGTGTTTTTCTGTGCGGGGCAGGTGCCTTCAGGGGACGCTGCCTTCATCTCATTCCGCCTTCCCGTACCACTTTAAAAGAAAAGTAAGGAGATAGAGAAAGAGAGACAGGGTCAAGGGGAGAGAAGACGCAGGGGTGCGAACAAAGTAGGAAGAACATGTGAACTCCTCTTCTCTCTTCTCTTTTCCTTGTTTCTTAATTTTTTCTTTTCATTGAGAAGGGGAACACGGTCTATGCTTCTCTCAATGTCCCGCCTTGTCTCAATCTCCCCTCTTCTGTTGAAGCAATTGCTGAGTGAATCATTGCTAGAGCATGAAGTTATTTAAGTTGGTATTCTTCGAGTGAAATCAGCTCATTGAAATAACAAAATTGAATCTATTAAATCACACTCGCGAAATCCTTAGATGATTAAAATTAAAGACTATGTTACTCAAATGCATTAACTGAATTCAATTGGTTCCATGGCCAAACCGTGAGGCTACGAATGTACTAGCACAAACTAGGGGATTTCTTCATTCGACATCGCCTCCCGGTAGGTCATGGTGGGGGGGGTGTGAGCTTATATATTTCTATATCTTTTGTTTTGTTTGTTTTTTTTCATATTTATATACATATGTTCGTAGTCAAATCTCGTCGTATTGTTGAAGCCCCCAACTGCCCGGCGCGTCCAGGACGCAGGCCACGGACGAGACGCCCTCGCTGGACCTGTTCTGCGCTCCAGTCAGCTGTGATCCAGGGGCGGTCTCCTCGAAGCCTAGGGTTTGGGTTTGGTGGTTCGAACATTGAAGTTGAAAGTCCGTCCTTACATGGAAGTAGTCTCAGGTCTGGTCGCTTGATCGAGGTGCGGGCGCTTTTGGGGTATAACCCTACAGACCGTACCAGCTGGGGCAACTCGGGCCGATCTCTCTCCCAAGATGTAACTGCCCGCATCGCAAGGGGGGATTCGGGGGAGGAGGGGGGGGCTCCCAAGTTCTTAAACCCACGCTTTTACTTGAGACATGCTTGTGCTTTACAATCTAGAACGGGATCTTCGTGGCAGGACCTCGGCTACTCCCTGGCCGTGACCGTCGCCGATAAGGCACCCCCGAGAAATACACACAAAAACAAGTACAATCCAAACAACAAGCCTGTTGCAAGAGCAATGAGCATCTTGGATGTTTAACGTTCTTTGATTTGATCCGAGGCTTTAGGGCTCGAGATTCCGGGGTGAGACCTGAAAATCCGATATCTTGAGCCCTCATGAAGCCATTCATCTAGTCAGACCTAACCTCTTCACCCATAAGCCGTATATTCAGGCCAGATCCTCCCCGAGCCTCCCCCAAAGCCCCCATCAGGCGTGGCCGTTCTCGGAACATTCAAAAAATTGAGGGCTTAGGGTTGAGGGATCAGGGTTTAGGGTTTAGGGGTTGAGGTTTGAGAGGTCAGGGACTAGAGATTAGGGTTAAGGGCTTTGTCCTTTGCAAAACGGAGATGGAGATGTTGAGACCGAAAGAAACCCTAATACACGCTTGGGTATGAAATCACCCTTGCTTGGTGAGGCCCTCTTGGTAGGGTGTATTGGCCTGATGGCGCCAATCTTCACTGAACCCTGAAACCCTTAAGCCGGAAATCGGAAGCAAATGTTGAAACCCCCTCGACTGTGGCGGAGGCGAGTGCGGACGAGGCGGGTCCAAGGGACTGGGGGGCAGTACTCGTGGGCTTCATGAGTTTAGGTGTTCGGGGGTGAGGGGGTTAGGGTTTAAGTATCAAAGGTTTAGGGGTTTAGCTACTTGACGTTTAGGGTTGGGAGTTTTAGGTATTAGGGTTGTTCAAGGGGGTTCCCATCGCAGTCGCTGTTTCGAGTTTGGGGGGCGAGGGTTGTATTTTACGATTGCTTGTTTGGTTGCGTTTGGGGTCTAGCCGTCTAACCTTTCGAAGCAAGTTTTTCCCCGGTAGTCGTCGACAGGCTCCGCAATTGCCTTCCCGCAACGCCCCGCGCAGCATCTGTTCCCATTAGGGTTTAGGGCTCAGGGCTTTGGGCCTAGGGCTTAGGGTCTCCCCGAGCCGGCATGGAGTTTCCCAACCGAGGAGCCTCTACTCTTGCAAAGTAACCCAAAAAAAATCCGCAAAGTCCGAAGGGCCTAAACACTTTTGCAAGCCCTCTGCACATGAAAGCAAGTCGACATGAGGACCTGATCAACGCCTCCGCCTCCCTAAGCCGCTCGCTGCTGCGCCCGCCGCTACCGCCTCCTCGCGCCTCTTTGGAATGGGGTCTACGGTCTAGGGTCTAGGGTTTAGGGTTTAGGGTTTAGTTCTTGGGTAGAAGTAGGGCTGCCAGTATCCGAGACAGGCTGAAAGCCAGTTCAACATGCAGCCAACCTGCACTGTTAAGTACCCCGTGGACCTCCACGCGAGGGTTGAGCGCCTCCATCCCGAAACCCTCAGATCTCAAAACCCCGCCGACCTGAAAACCCTAAAGCCCTCAACACCCCTACAAGTAACAGCCTAAACCCTAGACAGCCAGCCGTTGCTGGCTCATCCTTTGGGTGGGGGCTTTGGGAGTTCGAGTATCCACTAAGGGCAATTTCTGAAGCTCCCGTTTGGGTTTAGGGTTGGCTTCGGGTTCTTCGGGTTTAGGATTTTGGGGTTCTGCAGGCCTTGCGCAGGAATTGAAACAGAACAAGGAAGCACGATCGGTGAGGCCTCAGGCAAGCCCGAGCCCTAAATCCAAGCCCTTAAGCAACCGCAAAGCCTCATCAGACATCCTCAACCCCACACCCTAAACCCTCAAAAAGCGCGCAAAAACCTTGTCACTCGCATCGTGTTTTATATGGGGCGAGGGGGGGGGGGGCTGTAATATCCCTTGCAGGTTTGAAAGTCCGATGGGGGAAGGGGGATTCCCCTGAGGCACCGAGCCAGCACATCAGCCGGCCCCAGTGCGCCGGGGACCCAAGAGGGTTGTGGGAGGGCTTCTCCTACTTTTCGCTTTGTAGGATTTAAAAGGGCTTAAAGGGCTTCAAGAGCTTAAACGTGGTTTGAAGGGTTTAGGGTTGGGATGGAAGATCGCAAGGCCTTAGCTTTCTCGGGGATTAGGGGTAGTCTGCTCTCTTGGGAAACCTGGCTGCCTTGGGCTCCTTAACTTGTAAGACCACCCAGAAAACAGCACTGCAGCAAGCTCCCGAACCTGAAGCCCTGTAAGAACTAGAGATTCTAAGCCAGTTCCCTGAACCCTGAACCCAGACACCGAAATCCCAAACTCTGGCTGTTGAGGGCCGGCCTTGAAAGAAGTCGGCAGCCTCCACAGAATCTTTTAGGATCGCAGCGCCCGGAGGCTTCTATGCTGGTTTAAGATGACCCTCTTTGCACCGAAGCCACATCTCTAGTGCAGGGAATCTCATGTGACCTCCAGAAGCGAAGCCCGGGAATATTGCAGCCATATAACAGGAATGAGGACCCTGGTATCTACATTCCTACTACGGGCCCGCTCTGTTGCGAGCGCTGCGCGGGCAGGTGGCCCCATACCACCCGAGGTTTCTTCGACACCTTCGGGCAAAAAAGGAACACTCACCACCCCAAGCTGTCCTTACTCCCGGCTCCCAGGTGCGCAGGCCATAGCAGGGAACAAGGCCCCCCATGGTGAGTTGAAGTGAGCTGAGGGATTCTGGTGCCCGCGTTGAAGGGTTGCACATGTTGTAGGAGGGTTTAGGGTTCGGGGATGCCCTCGATTTAGGGTTTAGGGTTAGCGGGCTGCTTTCAACAGAGCGAGGACTCGGGGCTTAGGGTTTGGCGTTCTTGCATTCAAGAGAGCAAGGACCTTGGACCCAAACAACCCAGTCGAGCAAGTCCAGATTGGTTTGTTGGCAAAGAGCTCCACGACTCCCGCAGTTATCAGTCACGATAAGATTCGACCTTAAACCTGCTCAGGGAGGATTGGCCTAAGGAACTTCTTTTAAAAAGCAGATACCGTGGTAATTGGTAATGGCCGTTTAAGAGTCATTCTTGAACCTCCTTACGCAACTCCCAGAGAAGGCATCAAAGAGCCCAACCTGCAAACCTGCGATCCCGCTCGCACAAAGAAACTCCTTTGCCAACCCGAAAACGGCAGGCGGAAGCCCTGCCAGCGTTTGGTGCGCCGCTCAGGGAGGGAAGCCGGGCACCCTGAACTCCCAAAACGTCCTAAACCCTGAAGAGGGTTATAGGGTTTTGGGTTTAGGGACTTAGGGTTTCAGGGTTTGGGGTTTTTTACACACATTCCCTTACGCAACCTTAAACATCCGAAAGACCTTGAAAACCCTACGCACACTCCCTTAATAACCTGGCCCCCCCCAGCCACTTCGTGTCGGCCTGGCTCGGCTTTTAGTTTTTGTTTTCTGGGTTTCCTGTCTACAAGAGGGTTTGGGGGGGTTCACCTAATTAAGAACTCTGCTGTGCTCAGTTGGGCAGTTGGTTGATTGTTCCCGGGGGCTCACGTAAGAACTCTTCTGTGGTAGGCCCTGGCTGAAAAACATGTTCAGGGTTTAGGGGCGTAGGGTAGAGAAGGCTTCCCTTCTGGCCGACCGAGGGGCACAGACTTCATGGGATTCAATCCAACCATCGGCCATCTCCTGTCACTACATGAAAGCCTAGACAAGCCAAAAATGTCTTGCGAAGAGATGCAGAAAGCAGCCTGCATGCATCCTCACCAGTAGCAGTATCAACTTCCCCTTTGGCTAGACAGGGCAGGCTTTGGGTAGTAGCCTTCAGCGGATGACTGCGTGAGCCCGCCAAAGGCCCCACCCATGGCAAGGGCACCAGTGAGGCTGCGATAGTGGAGAACGGAGATTTGGGGGTGTCAGGGGAATGCTGTGTGGATGCTTGGGCTTATTTCTGAAGCCGTCGAATTTTAAGTGTAGGGGTTTGGGATTTCAAGAGTTTCGGGAAGTTTCTTGGAATAGGGTTTGGGGCTTAAGGGACTGAAAGGGGTGGGGGCTCCCCCAAAACAAGGCCCTGAAGGATCCCTTTTGGGAAACCTCATGTCATGTGAGTTTCGGGTTTAGGGTTTGGGCCCCAACGCTCTCTCCGGCGCCCCTCCCCCTCCCATTTCAGCCTAGTTATCCTGAAATGGCCGTATTTAAGAAGGAGCGTAACCTGAGGGGGGTGGTCGTCCCTCCCTACAGCCCTGCAACAAGTTTCTACACCCGCTACACCCCGAAACCCTGATCCATACACCCCCTAAACACCGAAACCTACCGAGTACCCTTCTATCACTTGGTAGTTCTGTAACATAGGGTTACCTTTTTGTGTCCCCCAAATGGTACGGCGGCCTTAGTCAATGGACCCGAAAAAAATTAAAGGCGACCCCCAATTGAGAGAACTGCTTCCGGCTGCTTCTGACCAGGCCTCTCCTTCGCTGGTGGAGCCCTCACATGGATCCCTGACCTACAAGACGGGTGGTCTAGTGTTGAGGGTCTAGGGTTGAGGGTTTAGGGTGGAGGGGGGGTCCGGTTTTTCTTTTGCGGGCCTGTTGCAAAGGTGTGGCTTGGCTTGGCTTGTCATCTTGCAAAGGCGTGGCTTGGCTTGGCTCGGCCTGGCCTGGCCTGGCTCGTCTTCGCTTTTCTCGGCTCGGCTTGGCTTGGCTTGGCGTGCGAAGCTTGCTTCAAAGAACATGTTTTCTGACACCCATCATGCGAGCATCGTGTTTGCAAATGGGGCAGGGGGGGTTTCAGTCGTACAAACCCATCATGCCATCATGCAAGCATTGTGTTTGCAAATGGGGGGGGGGGGGGGCTGCGATTTACAGCCTTCTTTGCAAACTCGGAGATGCTGCTGGTTACAGTATTGGCGACCTTTGGACACCCACAAATGCTGCTATTTACAGTATTTGCAGCCTCTCACAACGCAGAAATGCTGCCATTCACAGGATTTGCAGGCTCTGACAATACGCAGATGCTGTTTACAGGATATGCAGCCTTGCAAACTCAGACATGCCGCTTAGGCTTGCCCAGATCAAGCCCTCAACCCTTAGTATGCGCGGCCTCTCCAAACTCAGAAATGCTGCTAATTACCATGTTTGCAGCCGTTGAGAACGCAGAAATGCTGCTATTTACCGTATCTGCTGCCTCTGCAAACTCGGAAATGCTGCTAGTTGCAGTATTTGCAGGCTCTGGCAACGCAGAAATGCTGCTATTTACCGTATTCGCAGTCGAACCAAGAACCAAGGCCGAGCCACACCAAGGCAAGGAAACATGGCCGAGCCACACCTTTGCAAAAAAAAACCTTCCGCCGGTTGAGGGTTTAGGGGGCTGGTATACATATATATATATATGTATACCGGCTGGTATACATATATAAATAATTTTATATATATATATATATATATATATATTACCATATATATATATAGATGCGTATAAATAAATAAATAAATAAAAAATAAAGAGGTCCGGTATTTTGGTAGACCCCTTGCACCTGCCAAGGCTCCACGGCCTCGGCTGGACCTGCCCTGGAGCGCCTGGTGCGGCTTCCAGGCACAGTTAAGGGTTTAGGGTTTAGGGTTTAGGGTTCAGGGCTTAGGGGCTGGCAGGGCTGGCAGGGCTTGGGCTGGCAGCTTGGTGTATCTTCGTAGGGCTTACAATGCTTGAAGGGGCCTCCGAATCGGCGGCATAAGACGCCCAAAGCAACGGGCTGTGGATGGCTGCATGCAATGTCGGGGGTCGGCCCTAAGCCACTTGACACTAACATCTAAGCCCCGCCTCATGGGCCTGAAGCCTGAAAGGCCTGAAGCATTGGATCCGTCAGATTTCTCGGGTGGGGGGGGGGGGGTTTTGGGCAGGGGATTATCCAGGTAGGGGTGGGGGAACAGTTCAGGACCTCCGTGCCCCATTCAAGAATAAAAGTTTGGCGCTGGCTCGATTGCAAAGCTTGGTGTTTTGGGTGGCCATACTCCTTCTTTGGGGTTAGGGCTTCGTGTTTGGAACGAACTTCGTTTCTTGGGTGTCGAGTTTAGGGTTTGGGGTCTCATTGCTTCCCTTTGTCGCGCAGCTTTCAGGTACACCCCGTACTCCCAACCCGAGTATTCAGCGATGAAGCCCACAGGATGTTGACAGCTGGGTACTGCCCTAAACCCTAAACCCTCAACCCTAAACCCTTTAGGGTTCGGTGTTCAGGGCTTAAGGCAGATGATCCTTGGCCACTTGTCAGGCACTGAATCGGCGAGTCGGAATACATCTGCCACGCTGCTGGAAGCTGTGCTGTTAAATTCGGCACGTGGGGGTTTGTTCAATTAGAGTCCCTATTTGGGCAGCTTGTGTTCTGCAGACCCTTATAGATTAGGGCACCCGAAAAGAAACCACAGTTTAGGAGCCTATACTTCACACTCAAGCACTAAGCCCTGAAACGACGAAACCATTAATACCCCGTGGTCGATTTGGGGGTTGAGGCTGCTCTAAGCACTTCTGGCATTCCAACAGGCCTATATTTTCGTATGGCATCGCGACGAGACAGGGCTTCTTACGAGTTGAGGCGTTTCTGAATTCCGATTTTGGAAGAGCTGGTTCTTAACGCACCCTGAACCCTAAACCCTCAACCCTGATATGTTGTGACCGCAGGTACGAAACTCTCCCTCGTGTTTCGTGGCATCTCAAATCTCACCCCCCCCCCCCCTCCCAAATCTCACCCCCTTCAGGAGAGCTGCCCATCCCTGGTGCCGGACAAGGTGTTCAATCAGGCGTGGAAAACGACGCAGCCAAGTCGGGGCTTCAAAAAGGATGTCTCTAATAAGGGCTATGCTCTCGACTCGAGATCCTTGTTTCTGAAAAACCGCACCCTGGCAACAGCCAATGGCATACCTTGAAATTGAACAAAACATGAAGTCAGCCGTAAAAAAGGTGATCGAGCAAACATATACTGATGCAATAATGTAGTATTGTAAAGAACCTTAAGCCCTAAGCCTTCATGCGTAATGTAGTACTCGTTATGGCACCACTTATGTTTGTGACAACTCTCCGCATGAATGCGCTTCTGTGGACGTGTGCAGCTGCAAGCAAGGGTTACGCCTTAAAACCAGAATCAGAACCCCGAGTTTCTTGTTGCTGTTGGGGAAGTGTCATGCGAAGAGCTCAGGGCTTTTCTGCTCAAGCGTGCCTTCGGTGGCAGCTCTGCTCTCCTGTTAATACTGATCCCGCTGAACATGGCGTTTGTGGATGAGTTTTTCGCTGGTGTGAAACCATCAGTGGACACAGGGGTCTTTAGGATGTTGGCTGCCAAAGCACCTCATCCAATCCCATCTCATTCGGCTCAGTGGCTTATCCACGGCATGAATGGATGCAAGCGAGCAACATGAGGTCGTCACTACACATACCGTCCATGAAGAAGGCAGAAGGAAGCGATGAAAGCGAAAGAGAAAAATGCAAAAACCTCGCTTTCTGCACTGCACCTAGCAACTTCGTCAATTGACCCTTCCCAATGCCTAAAATTGTGAGCCGCTTCGTTGGGTGTACAGGCCTTTCAGCAGCTGACGAGCAGCGCCCTCCGCGACGAGTGTGGAGGCGGCGCCACCGGGCCTGGGGGTTGAGGTTCCCCGAAACCCCAAACCCTAAGCCCTAAACCTCACGCCCTTTCGACCCCAAGCCCCAAAGATTTTGAGGTTGCAGGGTTCCCCGAGAGTCCTGGCGGTCTCTTGGTCCTTGTTAGGGAAGCCTCAATTCATCGAAAGTCCCGTCCTCGAGCGCCTGGCTTGCGCCACTGGCTCCCAGAGGGGCTTAGGGTTTAGGGTTCAGGGTTTAGAGAGGGAATGCGAGAGAAGCCCTGCGCTTTGAGTCCCAGAAACCATGCCCCGAAATCCTTGGACCCCCTTCCCCAGCGCTCCGCGAGCGCACAAAAAAGGTCCACGCTGAAGTGATCACGTAGCCAGGGTTTAGGCTTTAGGGTTTAGAGTTTAGGGTTTAGGGTTTAGGGCTCATGGAGACTCCGCTGGGGCAAGCGCTTGCCTCCTGCTCCACGTCGGCGCAGTGGTCGACCCTCGATGCCGTGCTGCGCAAGGCTGGGCACTTGAGGGCAGTCGCTGCTGTGGACGTTGGCCCAAAGAGGGTTTAATTGGGTTTAATAGGGTTGAATAGGGTTGAATAGGGTTGAATAGGGTTGAATAGGGTTGAATAGGGTTGAATGGGGTTGAATAGGGTTGAATAGGGTTGAGGGTTGAGGGAGAGTCACTTCAAACCCCCAAAAGCTTTGTTGCAGCACTGCCCCAAACTTTGCCAAACACCCAGCGAGTTCCGGACCCCCAGTGTGCACGTATCCCCGAAAGTGTGGTGGGGTTGTTCAGCAGAGGTGGACTTCGGGAAGGTTCTTCGTTATCGTTGATGCATGGATGCACGTCGTGATGGATTTCGTGGTTTTTCCTGGCAACTGCCACATTTTTCAAAGCGCGGGGTAGGCTCTCTACGCTTGTGTAGGTACTGGATTGGTTTCTAGCCCACTCTTTAGAAGGAAAGGTCTGCACCTGAAATGCAAACCTAGGGTTTGGGGGGTAGGGTTTAGGGTTCAGGGTTGGAGAGCCTGGAGTTCTTCGATAACCCTGAGACTTAGGCGTCGCAGCGTTTGAGGGCTTAGGGTTTGGGTTCGGAGGGTTGGCCTCTTAGGGCACAAAAGTTCAAGCCCTAAAGGGGGGAGGGGGTTAAGCGAGGGTTCCGGGCGGGTGAGGGATGGTTAAGGAGGAGTGCACGCCCTGAGGTGAATGGCAAGACTGGGGCCCCGGCAGTGGATGCCAAGGAGTTCGACCAGCCCCTTGGGCCCTCAAAAACCCGTGAGACGTGCGCACGGCAGCCTTGTGGGTGGTTGGGCTGAGGATCTCAGGGTTTAGGGCACTGAAATCACCCGAAACATGCACGTTGAACGTTGAGTACAGGGTTCCAAGAACGTCCCTTTAACCCCAAACCCTAAAGCCCTGAAGCCCTAAAACCCCAAACCGTACGCCCCAGTCGCTGAACTCTCAACCCTGAACCCAAACCCCCAACCTTGGATCCTACACACTACTAGTAGAACCCAAAAACTCCATACCTTGGAGAAGACTGTAAGTTGCCCCTCAGGTTCCTCCAGGGCGTCGGAAGCGAGCAGCTCCAGGCTCATGGCATTTGGCGCCACAGCCTCCTGTCCGCGAAGTTTCTTGCTGTGGGTTGAGGGGTGAGGGTCGAATGTTGAGGGTTGAGGGTTGAGGGTTGAGGGTTGAGGGTTGAGGGTTGAGGGTTGAGGGTTGAGGGTTGAGGGTTGGGTTGGGGCTTCAAGAATCCTTGAGCAGCTGCCGCGTTGCGGGCCTATGGTAGGGATCTGGGCCTGGCCAGGTCTGAAATCAGATAGTTGTGAAGGTGCAATTAAACCTTGAGCTCCACAAATCAACGCGCTGGGCCCTCAATAGCGATGCTGATTCCCCGCAAGCCCATCAGCTGAGGCTTCGGGCCAAAGTACAAGCCACTGCTCCTGGTGAACCCTGCTTACGCGCGCACGGTGGCGCGCGATGCCCAGGCCACCACAGTAGCAAGGAGACATGGGGATCTTGTTAAGGAGCTGTGGACACAACAGTTGTCGCTTCCTTATGATGGCAACTTAACAACAACCCAGATGGTAAGCCTCGAGTTGTTTCGTTGCATTCCTCAAGCGATCCACCACACCCCAATAAAACTGAACCCCCAGCACGGAACATTCGAGTCAACGTCGCGGGGGACGATCTCGGGAAACCTCTTTCTTCCTGAGAAGGGTAACCCTGAACCCGGCAGCCCAAACATAGGCCTTCAATTTAGATCCCAAACCCCAAGCCCGAATCCCCAAGACCATCCCAAGACCTAGACCCTACATACCCCACCGCCCTCAGTTCAGATCAGCAACGAAACTCGCGCACAGGCGCCCTGCTCCTGCCCCGGCGGCCGGGCTGGTGGCGCCGGCTCGACGGAGAGGCCAAGCTGAGGGGCTTATGACGTCGTCCCCCAACAATGAGAAAAAGCACCGAAGCAAAAAGACTGCATGCATGAGACTGCTTCAAGAAGTCTCCCTGTAAACCTCAGCAATACTCCCCAAATCACACCACACAGCACAACAAGTTCTTCGTTGAGTTCATGCAGACGACGTCCTGCTCGATGAAGTCGTCGAAATAGCCGCGGTTCCGTTCACTCTCTCTCGCTTCATCTCTCTCTCCCGCTCTTTCTTTCTCCCTCTGTCTCTCTCTCTCTCTCTCTCTCTCTCTGTCTCTCTCTCTCTCTCTCTCTCTCTCCATCGCTCTCGCTCGACAATCGCTCTGGCTCTGTTTCTGAAGCTGGCTCGCATGCTTGCTCCTCACAGCCCAACTTGGCGTTCTTTCCCGCCTCTCCAGCCTTCACGGAAACCAAAGACATCAATCCGAAAAGCCCCTAAACCTTGAACCCTGAACCGTTAACCCTAAGACCCCCCCTGGCAGAGGTTCGACTCTCAAGCCTACAATGCCGGCCGCCACGCCTTGGAGGTGGGTCGTGGGAGGGCTGGGGGGTTTAGTTTAGGGCTCGCTCTATGTCGTCCCCTAAACTTTTCGGAGGGTTAACTTGCTGGTGCCGTAGGGGCAGGGGGCAGGAGACTGGGGGCCGGGGCCAGGAGACTTGGAGAATTCATGTTAGCTCCCAAGCCTTGCAATCCCCACACCTGGAGTTCCTCAACCCTGGGCCGATCTGGTTGGGGAGGGGAGTGGGGGGAGGGTAGGTCTAGATCTCGTTGCGAAACAGAAGGTTTCGGACGGTCTAAGCCAGGGGTTAATGCAGGGAATTTGGGGTTTTTAGGGGTTAGGGTTCAGGGCTTTGGGAATGTAACGTTGAGGGAACCGAGGCCTTTAGCTCTCCAAATTGGTTCTTGTTGGCTTTAGGGTCTGGGGTCTGCAGGCCAGCGGCCATATTGCCTCGTGCACGCAGTCGCTTGCTTGCAAGCAGCAGCGACAGCTTGGAGGTGAGATAAAGTTGGGGTTTAGGGTTTAGGATTCTAGGGCTTAGGGTTGCCCAGGGGCTTCGCTAGAACTTCCAAAAGCACTTGGATGAAAAGAAGATTCATGAGGTTATGCGAAGGGTTCTGGAAGTTCAAGATACCCAGCAACTGCATGACCTGTTGAACACCTGTACCGCTGTCGGCAGATGGGTGCCCAAATCCTGCAGACTAGGTCTGCCTCCGACAGCCTGACGCTTCAAGCCTAAGCCCTCAGCCAAACCCTCCTGAAGCATTCGCCCTCGGCACACTTAAGCCTGCCCTGGAACATCTGAAGTGGCTTCAAAAAAAGGGCACATGGGTTCAGAACCTCGCGTGGTGTCTAGGGATTTAGGGTTAGATATCCCTGGTAGGGCCTCCCCCCCGCCCCCCGGAAAAAAAGGAAGAAGGAAGCCAAGCATTCTTTGCGCTGGGCGGCAAAGGTGGCGGCCACCCACCACGGGCCACCTGCACAGCTGGCGACGGGGATTCGACGAGTGAGGGGCTTCGATGGTTCCTCAGCCCCAAGCCCTCAACCCTAAGGGCCTTGGAGCCTCAGATTCCTCAAAGCCTACAAGTCTAAAAGGGTTTAAGGGGCCTTTAGGGTCCATGGGCCTTAGGGTTGGGTTTTGAATCCCTGTAGGGACTCTGGAAGCCGGGGGTCTGTGGTTGGGAAAGCTTGGGGGTCGTAGGGTCCCGGGCTCAGGGCTCTCGAGCCTCCGGGGGGGGCCTCTTCCAGTTGAGGGCCTCCAAGGCCTGCGGTTCGAAGGAGTTAAGTTTAGGGCTCAGGGTTCACCCTTGGTGCGAGAAGACCGACCCAGCGAGCACACTGTACAGTCTTGTTGCTGTGCTGGTGTGGGCGACGCTGCGCGCCTTTTTTCTGCCTCTACTTGAGCTGGGTGGGTCCCAAAGCCCCCCAGAACACACGTTGGACCTTCTACGCCCGTTTTCAAAGGCAAATCTGGACAACCGAAGCCTTCAGCTCTCTTCGGGCGCTTCGGGTGATGTAAGGGGAACCAGAAGTTGGGAGGAGGAAGGTTTTTGGTGTGAGGTGTTGCTCTCGTTTCGGCCCTGAAAACCAAGACTTTGGGGGGTTGGGGGCTTGGGGTTCAGGGTTGGGGTTTCCTCAGGCAGGGCTTCGGGAGTTTGAGCCGCATGCCTTCAATAGGCAAAAGGTGCGCCCCTACACCCCCCCCACCAGATCCTTCTGATGGGCCCCAAAAGGCTCTCAGGCCTTATGCTTGTGAAAGTCCAAAGAAAGTCTAGGGTTTGAGGCTTTCAGGACTTCCAAAACCCTAAACACCCCAAAAATCCAAAAAGCCTAATATTCCTGAACCCTATAAACCCTAAAAAGACCCTGAAACCCCCCAAAACCCAAGTGCTGCGCCAGTTCTCGACAGCCCGATCGTGGGCTCCTCGCACACTGGCCGGACGGTCATGGAGGAGGCGAGCCTTTTTTTCGCTCTCAGAGAAATGTTGTCCCAGACCTCCCCCCAGAGGTGTGCGTGACCCCCAAGAGTTCCCCATGGGTACGTTTACATCAAAGACTGGAGTTCGGGCTTCGCAATAGCCACGTGGAGCCTGGTTCACATCCTCGCACCAAGGGTTGGGGCTTAAAGTGCAGGGTTTTCGGGACTCTTGAGGCTACCTACAGGCCACTTCTCGTCAGTCTTAACTGCACCAGACGCTTCAACCCTACACCCTAAACCCCCTAAAACCACTAAAGCCCTCAACCCCCCCCCCCCCCCCCGCCTCCTCCCCGAAGTTTGGGGTGTTTGGCCGCTGTGTGCCTGAGGGCTGGAAAGCCCGAGCCTCCCTGAACGGCGAGCTGGCACCCTACTTGGAGGTTTATGGATAGTTAGGTGTACCCTACACAAGGCTAGTAACTAGAGTCACGAAACTTGCAACCCTACTCCTCGAATTTCCCATGAACTTCCAAGTAGTTTAGTAGGGTTGAGGATTTAAGGTTTAGGGGTTTCGTGTTGATCTTATGCTCCCGTCCCTGAACCCGCTGAACCTAAGATACCCGAACCACCCTTACTCCACTTCTTTCGTGGTTAAGAGCCCTTACACACCCCACTCAAACCCAACAAAAGCTCAGCTTTGGTCCCTCTCGGGCCCTAAACCCTAAACCCTCTTAAACCCTCTCTAAACCCCCCCCCCAAAAAAAAAAAAAAACCTTAAAGTTGGGAACCCAACAACACCTGTGCTGGAGGATGGGGTGGCTTCCGAGAGCAGCCGGGGAGCCTATGTTGGGGTGGTTTCTCACAGAGTGGGTTTTCGGAAGGTTTAGGGCTTAGGGCTCAGGGCTTAGGGGGGTGGGGCGGGGGGGAGGGGGGGTTAGGCTTTTTAGGGTTTTAGGGTTTTGGGGTTTGGGGGTTTGGGGGTATAGGGTGCCTTTAGTGGTTACGTTCGCTTGGAAAACCCCCTTTCAGAACTTTTTTTCCACCCTACTTATTCTCAGGTTTCTGGGGAACCTACTAAACTCACTTCACCCTAAACCTTGATGAAAGCCATGAGCCCGAAGCCCCACAAAACCCTAAACGCCCGCATCCCCTAAACACTAAACCCGAACCTCCCTAAGCCTAAACCCTAAACCCTAAGCTACCTAAACCCTAAACCCTAAACCCTAAACCCTACTTCAGCTCAGGCTGGGGCGGCGGTGTGCACAGCACCGCTGCGCGGGACCTGGCACCTGTCCATGTCCTCTGAGTGAGTGCACTACTCTTTGCTTAAGAACCCCAGTGAGTGTACTTCTCTTTGCTTAAGAACCCCCCCCCCCCCACACAAAAAAAAAAAAAACAAGAAGATTATATGCCCTATATTGCCCTTTATAAGGAAGAATGTTGTTGTTGTTGTTTTTTTTTTTTTTTTTTTTTTTGGGGGGGGGGGGGGGGCGGCTCTTAGACCAATAGTAGTGTAGGGCTTAGGGGGCAGCCCCCTCAAACCCTAAGCCCACATTCAAGGCGCTGGTCAGCGATGGGCTCAACGAAGCACTCACCTCGGCGCTGGCGAGGCCTTTGGGGCTTCAGGGTTTAGGGTATAGGCTTTGGGGTTTCGGGTTGATAGTGTAGGGTGTAGGGTTCAGGATCTGGGGTTCAGGGTTTAGAGTTTAGGGGTTTCGGGCTTAGGGCTCGGAAACCCGACCTGTGCCTTTTTTGGTGCAGACCGGAACCTGAAGCTTTGAGTCCGGGCGTGGACTTTGGGGTTGAAGACCGCCGGGCTTCGTAGAGTCGGGTAAGTCTCACAGTGTCAAGCCTTCCGCTTGAAAGGGGGTTGGGGAATTCTCGGGGTCGCCTTTGGGATCAGGTTTAGGGTTTAGGGTTTGTAGCTTTGTTTCTATAGTCTTCTTGACAGGCAGCACCTGTAGCCGCCCGAGATTCTTCTACTGCCCCAAAAGCGAACGCCCTCGAGCCCGAAACCCTTTCTTCAGAAAGGGGTCCCTCGCCCACAGGGGTATCCCCCACGTCTCCTCTAAAACTTTAAGTATTTCCAAATCATTACTCCCTTTATCCCTCTGAGCAGCACCAAGAATTGTGCACCTTCCAGTCCAAGTACATAGGCACCTCCAAAAGATCTGCAGTCATTCAACGCATCTCCATCTCTTTCACCCTTTGGCTCGCCGTCTTGGGACGTATGGCCCGAAACCCGAAACCCTAAATCGCCTGCATCTTTTAATTCAAGGCTGAAGGAAGGAGTGGAACCCAAGGCCTGAATCCCCGAACGGCCCTCCAGGCAGACCTCCACGGACGCGACGCCCCAAGGCCTTTCATTGCCGGAATCGGCTTAGGGTTTTGTTGAAGAAGGCCCAAGAGTAAGCGCTGAGCCCTGAACCAAATCCGCAGAATTCGACAAATTCTCAAATCACTTCGGCAACCGGGCGGGTCGGTTCGTGCTAAAGAGTTGAAGTTTCAGAAAAGGCCGATACAGTCAGTAAGACGGCTTCCTCATTACGGCAACTTAAACATAGCTTAAGTTGCTTAAACCACGCAAAAGGGAATCTAAAAGCCCTAAAAACCTCAAACCCTAAACAGCCAAAAACTTACAGCCTGAGCCCGAAGAAGCCCTCAATCCACTCTCTCAACCCCTGCAAGCCTAGTGCTTAGGGCTTTAGAGTTGGGGCTTTAGGGCATTCCTTCCCCGACCCGTGCTAACTGGGCGTGGACACCTCAACCCTAACCCTGACACCCCCAAACTCCGCCTAAAGCTCTTAACCCCGTCCCTCCGAAAGCAAGCGCCGTTGCAATTGGATTGTAGTCTACTATAGTAACTATAGGTATGTAGCAGTACTTTTATGGAGATTGTGCAGCATTCTATGGTGAAAGGCGCAGCGTCAGTGGCCAGCGGCCACCCGGCCGCAGAAAGCTGGGGGGGCGATGTAACCCAGGGTTTGGGGCGTCGGGTTTAGGGTCAATGTAGGGGTTAGGGTCCCAAGACGTTGGGGCTTAAGGTTTGGTGTGTCAAATTGAGGGTTGGGGGCCCGAGTATGTTCCAGCGAATGAAGGGATAGTGTTGTCTTCCGGGCGGGGCGTCAGGTGGTTATAAAAAAACTAGAGAGGGATGGCCCGAAAGCATCGATTTGCCGTGCGTTGACTCCATGCAGTTGACTCTTTGCAGCCGAAGTGTATGCACTTGGACAAATGTATGCACTTACATGGTTGCATAGTCACTTGTACACTGCACTTGTCTGATTTGCGATGGTTTTGGAACCAGCGAATTCGGGGACCATGGTATACTTGCGATGCTTTTTGAACCAGCGAATTCGGGGACCATGGTTTTCGCGATGGTTTTTGGAACCAGCGAATTCGGGGACCATGGTTTTTGCGATGGTTTTGGAAACAGCGATTTCGGGGACCATGGTATTTGCGATGCTTTTGGAAACAGCGAATTCGGGGACCATGGTATTTGCGATGGTTTTGGAACCAGCGAATTCGGGGACCAGGGTATTTGCGATGGTTTTGGAACCACGATATTTGCGAGGTTTTCGAGGCCCCGGAATTCGAGTCCCACGACATTTGCAAGGGTTTCGAGGAATTCGAGTCCCAATATTTGCGAGGTTTTCGAGGCCCCGGAATTCGAGTCCCACGACATTTGCAAGGGTTTCGAGGAATTCGAGTCCCGCGATATTTGCGATGGTTTATTTGCGATGGTTTCGACATGCAAGCTCCGGGTGTCCGCGGCGGGAATGCTATTTGCGAGGTTTTCAAGTACGTCCGGAATTCCGCTTCCATGCTATTTGCGGTGTTTTCAAGCGCCCAGATGTCCGTTACCATGCTATTTGCAGTGTTTTCAAGCGCCCAGATGTCCGTTACCATGCTATTTGCGGTGTTTTCAAGCGCCCAGATGTCCGTTACCATGCTATTTGCAGTGTTTTCAAGCGCCCAGATGTCCGTTACCATGCTATTTGCGGCGTTTTCATGCGCCCAGATGTCCGTTACCATGCTATTTGCGGCATTTTCAAGCGCCTAGATGTCCGTTACCATGCTATTTGCGGTGTTTTCAAGCGCCCAGATGTCCGTTACCATGCTATTTGCGGTGTTTTCAGGCGGCCAGATGTCCGTTACCATGCTATTTGCGGTGTTTTCAGACGCCCAGGGCGTCCGCGGCGTACTATACGTCTGTGCTACAAAAAGTCGACTTTCCAGCCACGGAAGCTCCGCGTGTGCACGGCGTACTACGTGAGTACTACAAAAAGTCGACTTTCCAGCCACGGAAGCTCCGGGCGTCCCCGGCGTACTATACGTCTGTGCTACAAAAGTCGACTTTCCAGCTACGGAAGCTCCGCGTGTGCGCGGCGTACTACGTTTGTACTACAAAAGTCGACTTTCCAGCCACGGAAGCTCCGGGCGTCCCCGGCGTACTATACGTTTGTACTACAAAAGTCGACTTTCCAGCTACGGAAGCTCCGCGTGTCCGCGGCGTACTACGTTTGTACTACAAAAGTCGACTTTCCAGCCACGGAAGCTCCGGGCGTCCCCTGCGTACTACGTTTGTACTACAAAACTCGATTTTCCAGCCACGGAAGTCCCCGGCGTACTACGTCTGTACTACACAAGTCGAAAAACAAACGCAAAAAACGCAAAAACACTACGGTTTTAGCACCGCGACCACGCGAAAACCCGCAGAGGGGTTACGTTTGCATGTCAAGAAACGCAAAAACACGAGGGTTTCGGCACCGCGCCAACGCCGAAAGCCGCAGAGGGGTTACGTTTGTATGTCAAAAAACGCAAAAACACCACGGTTTTGGCACCGTGCCAACGCCGAAACCCGCAGAGGGTTGTCTGCGGCCACGAAAAAAAGTACCAAAACCGACGGTTTTAGCACCGCGACCCGGCGATCACCCGCAGAGGGTTGTCCGCGGACACAAAGAAACGTAAAGAAACGACGGTTTTAGCACCGCGACCACGGTGAAACCCGCAGAGGGTTGTCCGCGGACACAAAGAAACGTAAAAAACGACGGTTTTAGCACCGCGACCACGCCGAAACCCGCAGAGGGTTGTCCGCGCAAATCAAGAAACGTAAAAAAACGATGGTTTTAGCACCGCGACCACGCCGAAACCCGCAGAGGGTTGCAATCCCGATTGGCGATGTCAACCCAGCCCGCCGCCTTAGAAAGAGTAATTTTAATTTAGTTTTAATTTAGAAATCTAGGACTGGGTACGAAGGTCTACGATATTCTACGTAAATCTCGTAATTTCTATTAACTTCTACTTCACTCTATGCAATTCACTCTATGCACTTCACTCTATGCACTTCACTCTATGCAATTCACTCTATGCAATTCACTCTATGCACTTCACTCTATGCACTTCACTCTATGCACTTGACTCTATGCACTTGACTCTATGCACTTCACTCTATGCACTTGACTCTATGCACTTCACTCTATGCACTTGACTCTATGCACTTCACTCTATGCACTTCACTCTATGCAATTCACTCTATGCACTTCACTCTATGCGCTTCACTCTATGCTCTTCACTCCATGCACTTCACTCTATGCGCTTCACTCTATGCCCTTCGCTCTATGCACTTCGCTCTATGCACTTCACTCTCTGCACTTCACTCTATGTGGTTGGGTCAGAGGGCTCCGCACGGAAGAACCCTTCGCGATGCTTTCGGGAACAAAACTATATGGACTCAGGGGCTGTGGGGGGCGTTTGTGGGCGACGTTTGGGATGCAAGAGCTTGGGGCTCGAGGCTCTGAGTGGAACCTTTGAGGGCCTCAGGATTTAGGACTTAGGGTTGAGGGTTGAGGGTTTAGGATTTAGGGTTTGGGGTGTGGTGAAAGCCTTCGAAGAGGAGCCGTACGAAGGGGCTCCGCTGCTACCTCAAACTCACAGCGCCCCGAAACCGGGCAAAGCCGTACATCTCCCAGTATCACAGGGGGTGGGCACAAGTCGTAAGGACATTGTGACGGGAGTACTCCCGTTATGTCCATGCCCCCCGCTTCCCCACCGCCCCAAAACATCCAGATCCCTCATAAGCCCCTGAAACCCAAAGCCCTAAAACCTTAAAACCCCTACTCCCCTAAACCCCCCCCCCCCGTCCAGCGGCCTAAACCCTGAACCTTGAGAACCCTAAACCCTAAACCCTAAACCCGAAACCCTAAACCCTAAACCCTAAATCTTAGAACCCCTGAGAATCCGAGAGAGGTGATCCCGGCATTGCCTTCGCAGCCCAGTCAGCGGTGAAAGAGGCAACGGAGCCCGGGCAGGCATCCGCGGGGGGAGGAGGGGGGCTTAGGGTTTAGGGTTTAGGGTTTGGGGTTTAGGGTTCAGGGTTGAGGGTTTAGGGTTTAGGGTTTAGGGTTCAGGGTTGAGGGTTGAGGGTTTAGGGTTTAGGGTTTTGGGTTTAGGGTTTAGGGGAGGAACCGAGGGTAGATGCCCTGACCCCCAACCCCTCATCCAAGTGCTTTTAAAAGAAACCGAGGGTAGATGCCCTGACCCCCAACCCCTCATCCAAGTGCTTTTAAAAGAGAATGTCTAGCCCTAAAGCTTTTTCTTTCTGGATATGACGGGTTTTTTCTTTTCGGGAAGACAGAGCAGGCCGACGCGCGGCAAGCGAAGCCTGGTTGCACTTTGGTGGCCCAATCTGTAGGGGCCCTTAGGGCTCCTAGGGCTTTAGGAGTTCTAGCCCTAAACCCTAAATCGCCCTAAACCTAAACCCTAAACCCTCTGAGGGTGCGTTGTTGAGTCTTTAGGGCTTAGGGCTGTAGGGCTTTGTGGGGTTTACGTTAAAGGGTTAGGGGGAAGGGTTCAGGAAGCCCCGCGGAGTGCGGGGTTCAGAGCTGCTTCTATCGCTTTCTGCTTGTTATTCAAAACTTACTTAGCCAATCCTTGAACTTGAACTTGGCCCGCAACATGTTCTGGGAGTAATCCTTGAAATGCTTGCCTGCACGAGACTAAGGTGAAAATTTCGCCACATGAAGTGGCCCCACAGCGAGAACGCCTGTGAAAGGACGCCTTGAACTTGCAGCTCGTCTCTCAAAACCTGAGTCATCCCTGATTTACGAGGAGGCCAGCGGCCTAACAAGAAGGCCCTGGGCACTTGGCAGTTCATGCGCTCCCAAGAAGCCCTGCTAATTTCACATCCTTTCGTGCCTTGCCTTACACAAAGTCCTCATCCCCAAGTCCCAAACCCCCAAACCCCCAACCCCCAAACCCTAAACCCCCAAACCCTAAACCCTAAACCCCCAAACCCTAAACCCCCAAACCCTAAACCCTAAACCCCCAAACCCTAAACCCTAAACCCCTAAACCCTAAACCCCTAAACCCTAAACCCCTAAACCCCCAAACCCTAAATCGAGCAGGAGCTGGCCGAAGCCATGGCTTTCCGCAGGCTGGCCCCCTGGAGTGCTGGTGAGCCACCTTCTCTAGGAGCGAAGTCGAGTTCGGAGGCTTCCAAGGGGAGTAGACAGTAGTACGGGTTTAGGGTTTAGGGTTTAGGGTTCAGGTTCTAGGGGAAAATCATAAGAACAATCATTTTTGCTTGTTTCAAGACAAGATCTGAGGCCTCAGAGCTTCAAGGCTAAGGGGAGCACCCCAGAAGGACAGGTTGGTGTTTTTTTCCGGTGCATCGGCCCCAAACCCAAAACCCTAAACCTCCAACCCTGCAGCGCTTAAGGGACGAACAGAAGGACGAATGTCCCTGTTTACAAAGGACTCCGCATTTCCAAAAAAAGGCCTTCTTAAACCACAAAGCAAACAGCCCCTAGCCCGAAACCGACAACGAGAGGAGCGACATACATGTTTATTACCCCTGCCGGCTTAAACCACAGAATCCAGCCGCCGGCAGCTGCGGCGTAGGAGCTACTTGGAGGGTTCACGGGTAGTTATACGTAGGGCTGTAAGTATGGTAACAAGACGTATAGCCATACTCTTTCAGAGTTCAACTGCTCCGTGCTTTCCACCGGGCCGAAACTCCGGAGTGCCCCGAAGAGTGTTAGAGCCTCAAGGTTTGTGAATACTTCATCTAAGGTTAGAACTAAAAATGCCTACGCTCCACCCTACTTCTGATCCCGAACTATAACTGCCCAAAGTAGGGGAGGAAAGATTCTCACATTCAGAGCCTCGAGGCCTGAAGGATCAGAGGAAAGATCCTGGTTCCTAGAGAAGGTGTAGTGATAGCCACTGTTCTTTCGAATTAGGTTTTGGGTGGATATAGGTGTTTTGGGGTTTAGGCGTCAGGAGGATGTCTCCTAAGAACGCGAAGTGGTGGAGGTGTGGGCTCAGCAGCCCGGCTAATGCCCGCAGATGCGACTCTGACTGGCGCATGGACTTAGAGCCGAGTCCTGCCCTATGCCTCCCCCTCCCCCAGACCTCAAAACGCCACGTCATAGGCCCCACAGCCCCAAGTCCGCGGAAGTCTGGCATGAGCCCTAAACCCTAAGCCCGCCACCCGACCTTAAAACCGTAAGGCTCTTGAGGGCAGCTCCTATTTCTCTGCCGTGTAGCTCGTTGCTCGAAGCCCTCGGTCGGCTGCCCTGGGACTTAGGGATGTAGGCTTGGGGGCTTATGCGGAACTCCTTTCGAGGCAAGGCAGTAGCCTGAAAGATTGCCAATATTGTCTCCCACCGATGCTCCCTCAAAAATAGAAGCACAAACTGTTCGACTACAGAGGCCGCAAGAATTTAACGGCTCGGTGTGTCTGTTGAGGTTGGCAGCTGCCAAGGCTGTGCGCACGAAGTGCGCAACCGAGTACCTAGCCGCCATGGAGCCAGGCTGAGTTCCTAACAGCCATAGATCACCATCCTATCCCCCCCCTCTTTGCTTGCCCTCGCAGGGCTACTAGTCTTCGGGTATGGGTGGTCGAAAAGAGAGCAGAGTGGCAACAGATGGCGAGCCCAGCATCAAGCTGCAGCTGCCCCCGACATGAACCACCACCTATTCGCGCCTCAGCCGGCTACATGCGACCGCTGGGAAAAAAAGAATTTGGGGGATTTGCCCTGAAAGGAAACCCAAGAGCGCAGTGTGTTTACGACTTCGCCGAAGCCGACGCGAAATTCGAACCCCAAGCCTTGAGCCTTACCGAACCCCTGGAAAATCTCTGGTTTAGGGTTTGGATATGCCCCTAAAGCTTACGTTGTGATCTCAAACTCCTCTCTGACCTTGAGGTATTCCCAAACTTGACAGCCAGAAAAGCCAGCAAACACGGCCAGGATTCATTTGGGGTCCTCGGGCAAGTCCTGTGTTAGCTCGCCCCTCTTTTGCAAGATCTTGCAGAAGGCAAGATCCCAGTTTCCCCACAGGCTCCCATCATGGCATAGTCTGGTCTCAGGGTTTAGGGCTTAGGGCTTAGGGTTTAGGGTTTAGGGTTTAGGGTTGCCTTCATACTCACCTGTATCTACTTGGTAGCCCCGTGGTGCCCTATTTGCCCCCTTTTTGGTTCAAGGTTCCCCTGTAAAGTAACTAAGCCAAAAATCGGGTATCCTTATTATAAGATCGTTACCGGGCTACCAGGTAGATATGGTAGATATGTGGACTGGGATGCCGATGGAGCCTGGTGCATGCTTGCTGGCCTAGCAAAATTTGCAGGCTTGCAGGAGGAATCCGCTACTTCGCCCACCTAGCAAACCAAGCATATTGAGTGCAAAGGCCCCCCGGTGTCTTGGCTTCTTTCTTGAAAAGTCAGCGCCCTAAATCCCGAAGCCCCTAAGCCCCGCTCTCGCAGTGCGCACCGCAACAAGAGAAAACGGAGAGAATGCCGAGGGTTGGGAAGGGCACGATACTGTGTTTTGCAAAGTGACTGCGGGTGAAAGCGATAGGGGTTTAGGGTTTCAGGTTTAGGGCGCCACAACTCTGGACTTCCCATCTCTTGAGGCCCGCTTTTTATCTATTTCTGGTTCTGAGTAGGGAATGATGGCACTTTAGGGACCGTATCATGTCAATTCAAGGGTGTACATAACAGGGTGCCTACTGCCCTCACTCTGCTACTACTGGCTAAGAAGCCCTCAGTTTGAATCTTTGAGAACACTCTCTGAGCCGTCACCTTCCGCAGCTGCTGTTGGTTCACAGCGAGCCATTTCAACGTGGACTTAAGACATAGCTCCGAGAGATGTACCCCTTATCATCCCCCAAGGTACTCGATTCCTACCCCCCATTGTTCTGCATGTCCGAATGTGGCCACGAGCCGCCCTAAGCCGAAGCCCCGATCACCTGCGCCTTCCCAACAACCCCCCCCACCGCAGAAAAAGGCACTCCACTCCGCACATGCCTCAACCCCAAAGGGCTGGCCAAACTCTGCACAAAACCTACCCAAGGGATAGGGTTTAGGGCTACAGGGCTAAGGGTTTTAGGGTTACAAAAGCTGCCATGATGCAATCCTCGTCACCGAGCCTTCCCCCAGCCCGGGCCACCGCGCGTTCGCCCGCGGCACTGCTGGGGGCCCGACTGGAGGTGCCCTCCAGGCCCGGCCGCAGGGCTTGCGTACCATGGCAGTGGGTTCAAGATGCGGGGCTTCGTTGAGGGTGCTTCTGAAGGTATGTACATACAGACGTATATCTATATACACACATGTATATTGACATCGATGTATGCCGCACAATGCAGTCTTCATCATGTGTCCTATTTGTGGTTTTGGCTCGACCTACATAAAGCGCCCTTGACCCTCAACCTTGACCCTTAACCCTCAACCTTCCTTTTCCTCGACGCCTAAACCCCTGAACCCTGAAGCCCGAAACCCCAAAACACTCCTGCCAGGCCTGCGCCGCGAGCAGCGGCCAGCGGCTGCGCAGCACTCGGCATGGCAGCGCTTGCTGCGGCCGGTGGCCGCACCCGGGCGCCGCGAGGAGGCGAGAGGCTTCGAGGCGCGTGAGATCGGCACCCCGCACTGCCCCGAACCATCCCTGGAACACTGGAACATTGCCCAGTGGCTTTAAGAGTGCTGCAACCTAAACCCTGGACTTTCTTCTTGGAAGTCCAAAGAGGATCCTCTCGGGAGCTTCACAAGGACTTAGACATGGTGAATGACAAGTTCCCATGAATAAAACCTCCAAGCACTCAAGCGATCAAACAAAGACACCCAGCTATCCTAAGGTCATACGAGCAAACGAGCATTGTGCTTGCAAATGGAGGGTGGGGGGGGGGGGGTGTGAGGGCCACGTCCCAACCCCAACTCCCCCGTCCTTCTCCATTATCGTCGTTTCATCCACTTGAAGGGAATATCCAACACCGGGAGGGGGGGGGGGGGGGGGGGGGGGGGGGTTCACGTCGTCAGCCCTGCTTGGCATAGGTTTGAGGCGGCATGCCGCCCCGGCTGGCGCAGCGAACGCCAATGCACCAAAGGCGCACCAATCAGAGCATGGGACTACTTGGAGGTTCATGGGCAGTTCTACCAGGAGATGTGCAAGTACTGCATTTGCCATTGCTTGTCATGAAGGTTATGTACTCCTTTAGTACTTGTGTTTAAAAGTTCAGATTGGAGGTACTCGCACGTGCCTTGGGTTCAGAACAACATGGCGCAGTTTCCCTGAAAACCAACGGTGCGGCCCGTCAGAAGCGGGGAAGGGCGGCACGTCCTCCAACTACAGCCAGAGCCCTTATGCCGCAACCCGCGAACTTATAGCACCCTCAAGGCCCCGCTGAGAATGTGCAAGGCTTGACAGCGATCTCAAAACCGCCTACTGCAAACCTTCACGACGGACTCTCATCCGCCACCCCCAAAACCTTCAACCCAAATTCCTCGCACCGACCCCTTCTGAAACCCACTCCTCGAAAACCCAACAAGAAAGCCAACCTAAATACTGTTCTATACCGCGAAACTGGGAAATTTGACAAGAAGGAGCAAAAAGCAGCCATAGTCACATGGTCCTTGGTTTGCATTACGTATAGTGGCCTCGTCTGGCTGCAGTAGGCCCAGTGTTTCCTGACTTGTTGTCGCGTCATTCTGAGCGCGGCCCAGGACATCCCCGAA